CACACACACACACACACACTCACTCATTCACACACACTCTCTCTCTCACACACACACACACACACACACTCACTCACTCATTCACACACTCACTCACTCATTCTCACACACACACTCACTCTTATACACACTCACTCACTCTCACACTCACTCACTCTCATTCACACACTCACTCATTCACACACTCACTCATTCACACACACACACTCACTCACTCACTCACTCACTCTCACACACACACACTCACTCACACACACACACACACACACACACACACACACACACACACTCACTAACTCACACTCACTCATTCAAACACTCACTCACTCACACTTATACACACTCACTCGCTCATGCTCACACACACACACACACTTTCTGAACATTTCTGAACACTTCATGCATCTTGATTGATCAGATTGCTCTTATTTGGTTTTACATTTTTTTTATTTACACTTTTGCCACGAGTTATTCAGTTAGTAAAAACACATGAATTACAATGTGTAAATCTCCCCTTTTGCATCAGTTTTATTAACTTTTGCTTTTCTTTCTTTTTTTTATCATTGATGCTAAGCTTCACATAATACAATTTGTTGATTAAAATAAATTCCTACATTTCCTGAGAAGTTCAAAAGGCTGGCATGAAATATTAATGAAATCACACCATTTCAAAGCACTAGAGTCCCAGTAGTTTTGCCATAGTTTTCCTGACAATAAGGTTTCATGAACTAACGATGAACAAAGCATTTATTAATCTTCGTTAATGTTAATCTCAGCATGTATTAATGATGTTTCCGCAGGGCAGGGATGTTTGTGAGTAAGTTCTTCGACGGCTGTGTTCCTGAGATGCTCCTGAATGAAGACGATAAGCGTCTCATCGCTCAGGTGTGCTGGGAGCTCAAGCAGTACATCTCGCTGCTGGATAAAGTCAGGTCAGGATTACCCACAATGCCTCATCAACGTGCGTGAATGGCCTGAAATGCAGATATTCACACATTTGGATTGTTCCTGAATGACAGTGATTTGGCTTTATGTCTATTAAACCTTTGTAGCAACTCGTAATGTAATAACTTTATCTACTCTCTTTAACTAATAATTTTTTTATGTTTTAAAAGCTATTACAATTATGAAAATGTTAAATTTTTGGTCAGTTTAATACATTAATGTAAAAATTATTACATTATGAGCTTAAAGATTTTATTACGTTTTGAGAAAATTATTACGTTATGAACATTTTATTACAATAATAATGGAATACTCATTACATTATGTGCATTTTTTATTATGAGTTGCTACAACCTTTGACAAGTACGATCACGGCGAAGTTTATAGTTCGGATATAAACAGTGATGTCAGCGGTAGTGATCAAAATAGAGTAAATTACCTTTTGCTTCAAATAAAAATTGTGTATTACATCATTACACCTGTAGGTAGCGATAAGTGACTCTATTTGTCATTGAATCATTTATTCAAGAGATTCGTTCAGAAATGCTGATTTATCCAGTAATGAAACAAGTGAAGTATTTTTGAGTGAGTCATTGAATCAATCATTCAAGAGATGCGTTCAAAAACGCTGATTCATCCAGTAATGAAACAAGTGAAGTATTTTTGAGTGAGTCATTGAATCATTCATTCAAGAGATTCGTTCAAAAACGCTGATTCATCCAGTAATGAAACAAGTGAAGTATTTTTGAGTGAGTCATTGAATCATTCATTCAAGAGATTCGTTCGAAAACGCTGATTCATCCAGTAATGAAACAAGTGAAGTATTTTTGAGTGAGTCATTGAATCATTCATTCAAGAGATTCGTTCGAAAACGCTGATTCATCCAGTAATGAAACCAGTGAAGTATTTTTGACTGAGTCATTGAATCATTCATTCAAGAGATTTGTTCGAAAACGCTGATTCATCCAGTAATGAAACAAGTGACATATTTATGAGTGAGTCATTGAATCAATCATTCAAGAGATTCGTTCGAAAACGCTGATTCATCCAGTAATGAAACAAGTGAAGTCTTTGAGTGAGTCATTGAATCATTCATTCAAGAGATTAATTTAAAAACACTGATTCATCCAGTTATGAAACAAGTGAAGTCTTTATAAGCGAGTCATTGAATCCTCATTGATTCAAACTGATTTTTTTTTTTAAGATTTAAATTAATGAAATGTTATTTTGTTTAGTTGTCTATTCAGAATCATGGTAAAATTGTGATTATATAAAAAAAAAAAAATATATATATTATTTTCAATTTCTCCAGAATCGTTCATATCTACTAGCCTGTAATTGAATTTGTCTAGTTCTGCTCAGCTCTATAGTATTTCAGCAGCTGGTAATCCTCTATTACTCAGGGTTACCAGGAAATATAAGGTCAAATTTGTGATTTCCAAACTCACGGAAAATAATTGTATAAAATGATTCCTATAAATCGAATTATCGCAAACAAATGATTAGTTAAACAAAAGCCGTGGGAGCTCCGATTATAAAATAACTGGATAAAGAAGCATTTATTTCTCTCAATAATCTTCCGCATGCATGCTTGTGTTTTATAATATTGTGCATGTGTACAGATGCACGCGCTCCTAACTCTACGCCGTGTGTACAGATGCACGCGCTCCTAACTCTACGCCGTGTGTACAGATGCACGCGCTCCTAACTCTACGCCGTGTGTACAGATGCACGCGCTCCTAACTCTACGCCGTGTGTACAGATGCACGCGCTCCTAACTCTACGCCGTGTGTACAGATGCACGCGCTCCTAACTCTACGCCGTGTGTACAGATGCACGCGCTCCTAACTCTACGCCGTGTGTGTTCCAGGATCCGTGACGCTCTGAAGTGCATCCTGAACATCTCTCGTCACGGGAACCAGTACATGCAGGTTAACGAGCCCTGGAAGAAGATTAAAGGAGGAGACGACGACAGGCGAGTGACGCGCGACGTGTGTGTGTGTGTGTGTGTGTGTGTGTGTGTGTGTGGAGCTACGGCAATGCGCAAACCCTTCATGAAATTATTATACACACACTATACATTAGTTAGGATGAACTAACAATTAACAATACTTCAGAAAAAAAACTTCTAAAGCATTTATTAATCTAATTTTGAATTTTCTAAAAAAAAATTTTAGAAAATCATTTTAAAAATGTAAATATATATATGTAACAAATGTATTGCTCATTGTTAGTTAACTTATGGGATCTTATTGTAAAGTGTCACCATTAATTCTAAAGAGAAGTAAAAAAAAAATTACAAACATTAAAGCTAACTAGTTAAGCGCGTGTGTCTGTGTGTTTCTGTGCGTGTGTGTGTCTGTGTGTGCGCGTGTGTGTGCGTGTGTGTGTGTGCTGCAGGCAGCGCGCCGGGACCGTGACGGGGGTGTGTGTGAACGTGGCGTGTCTCCTGTCTGCCGTGCTGGAGCCGTATATGCCGACGGTCAGCCACACCATCCGTGTCCAGCTCCAGGCTCCGCCCACCTGTGCCAGTGCCCAGCTCCAGGGCCCGGGGAGCTTCGTCTGCTCACTGCCGGCCGGGCACCGCATCGGCACGGTGAACACTCCCTGCATTACACCACACATGCTGATTACTACTCCAATATCTTTACTTTTACTCTTTTACTCTTTTATTTATTTTTTAACTTTTTTTTTACTAATTATTATTATTTTTATTTGTTACTCTTTTTTGAAAACCTTTACTTATTTTTATTTTTTTTATTTTTTTTAACATTATTATTATTATTATTATTTTACCTCTCCTCTCCTTTACTTAAAAAAAAAAAAATGCTTTTTACTTATTTTTTCATTTTTTTACCAATTATTATTTAAAAAAATTACTCTTTTTTTGTTTTTTTCCTCTCCTTTACTATTTTTTTTTGTTGTTTTGTTATTTTTTACTTATTATTTTAATTTTAATAAAAACTTTTTTTCTTCTTATTATTATTATTATTATCTCTCCTCTCCTTTACTCTTTTTTTAAAAAAAAAATGCTTTTTACTTATTTTTTTACCTATTATTATTTAATTTTTTTACTCTTCTTTTTTTTCTTTTTTTTTCTCTCCTTGACTCTTTTTTTTTTCTTTTTTCTTTTTCTTTTTTAATTTTTTTTAATTTCTTAAAACTTTTTTTCCTATTATTATTATTATTATTATAATTATTACCTCTCCTCTCCTTTACTTTTTTTAAAAACTTTTTTTACTTATTTATTTTCTTTACCTCTCCTACAGGTCAGTCCTTTGTTCCAGAAGTTGGAGAACGAACAGATTGAGGCTCTGAAGAAAAGATTCGGAGGTCAACAGGTTCGTCAAACACATTCATGCATTATTGAGCAGATTCTCCTGCAGAAACTGGAATCCAGATTTCCAGGACAGACGTATTAATAGAATCCTGAAAATTTATCAAAAAGTGATTTGAAATTATTATTATTTTTTTAATAATACTATAAATAAATGAAAAAATTTAAATAAATATTTCTAATCTCAGTTCTTCTCCCACTCTCTATCTATTTTATCTATATATATATTACATTTTTATCTATAATTATTATTTTTATATATTTATATACAATTATTTATTTATATTTAAAAGAATTATCAGCTAGAAATTGCTATTTGTGAGTGTGATCACTGATCTCTATAAAATGATGTTTAAAAATCTGGAAAAGTTGTGGAAATTAATTTTTTAAGAATTATTCTATATTTAACCACTCCTATAAAATTAAATAAAATATGCAATAAAATTAGCTTTAAAATGCAATAAAGTCTGTTTAAATGATTATTTTTAAACATCTATGCATTTCCCATGTTTAATTTTCTACTTTGCTACTCTGGTACAACCATGTATTTTATTTATACAAATATATATATATATATAGTGTAAGCGTGTAAATTCGTCAGACAGAATGTGTAATTAAACCCTGATTAATTAAAATCAAGCCATTCCAGCAACATGAGCTGAAGGATCTGATGATGCTCATTATCTACGCTTGTTTGTCTGATTCTCTGCCTCTTTCAGCCGGAAGAGGAGTGTGTTGAAGCGAAGGTAGACGTGTGTGTGTGTGTGTGTGTGTGTGTGTGTGTGTGTGTGTGTGTGTGTGTGTGTGTGTGTGTGTGTGTGACCGCTCTCTGTTCTCACGGCTTTGTGTGTGTTTTCACTATGACTGAGTGTGAAATGGATTCAGTGATGTCTATATGCTCTGGATCAAAGCGTGTGTGTGTGTGTGTGTGTGTGTCAGTCTCTAACGGCCTCCGGCTGCGACTCAAACACAACAAATCTCGTTTTATATTCTATCTAACGTTTATTTTAGAGCGTGAGATTTCACAGATCTGTGTGTACTAACAGATATTTATGCATGTGTGGTTGCTACAAATTATAACATATAATTATTAAAGATTTGATTTAATTTTTATTTAAAAAATAATTATTACAAATCTTTATAATTAAAACAAATATAAAGAAACAAAAATTCTGAAACGTGCACATAATAAACTATTTGAAATATTGATTTCTGCCTCCAGACGCAGAGTTCCAGCAGCGCCTCAGCCGAGACCAAACCTGGAGCTCCACAGGAGCATCTGAACACCGACCCCGAGAGAGTCAAACACCTGACGACTCTAGTGGCTGAACAAGTAAGAACGTACACACACACACACACACACACACACATTTACACACTCACACACACACACACACACACACACACTCTCACTTACACACACACACACACTCACTTACTCACTTACACACTCTCACTTACACACACACACACACACACACACACACTTACACACTCTCACATACACACACACACTCACTCACTCACTCACTCACTCTCACACACTCACTCACTCTCTCACACACACACACACACACACACTTACACACACACACACACACACACACACACTTACACACTCTCACATACACACACACACTCACTCACTCACACACACACACACACACTCACACTCACTCACACACACTCACTTACACACTCTCACATACACACACACTCTCTCACTCACTCACACACACACTCACTCACTCACACACTCACTCATTCACTTACACACTCATTCACACGCTTACTCACACACTCTCAGACACACACACACACACACACTCACACATTCACACACACAAACACACTCTCTAATATTCACGCGCACTCACGTACTCTAACACCCACTCCTCTTACACACACACACGCTCACACTCTCACACACACACACACACACACACACACTCACTCACTCTCTCTCAAACTCTCACACACACTCACTCACTCACTCACTCATACTCACTTACACACTCTCACATACACGCTCACACTCTCTCACACACACACACACACACACACACACACACTCTTACACGCACACACACTCACACACACTCTCTAACATTCAGCGCGCACACACATACTCTAACACACACTGCTCTTACACACACTCACACACACGTACATGCATATAAAGTGATTAAACTATGAAAAACTTTTAAGAAAATATTTTATATTGTTTTTTTAATATTTTAAATATGAGGGAAGAACCGAACACTGAACTTGGTTACCGTATTTATCTGACAAAATTATTTCTAAAATATAAAATAAAATATCAAACTACAGCTACGAGTTTTATTTTACTATGCAAAAAAAAGGCAAACATTGACTACAACATAATCAGTTATTAATATTTTGTTCATTCTCTCTGGTTTTGCATGTGTTCATAATTTCTTTGTATGACAGCCCAGACTAAAATTATCGGAAATAATTATTGTCGCACAATTCGTCGTGTTTCATTGCGTTATTATCACAAATAAAACTATCGACTCATGCGCAACTACGCAATATGACTAGACTACAAAATCTTTAACACATTTTTAACAATATTTGAATAAAGAGTGAAAATTTTAATTTTCCAGACTTGACTGTATATATAATATATGAAGCATTTCGTATTGAAAAAATAATGCTGTTTTTTGTATTTTCAATATAATCTAATTTCAAGTACACGTCTTATTTTCTTCCAAAAAACATCGTGGCGCTTTAGTAACTGCATTTGTCGTCTATTGTCGGACACCTATTCATAATTTCCCCCTTCAACACACTGTTTTTATCCTTTATTATGTTAGAATATTTAAAAAAAAAATTTTTTATAATTTTAGAAATTTATATTTAGTATATATATAAATATATTTTATTTAAATTTTTAACAGGATTTTTTTATTTTATTTTTATTTAATAATTTTCTTTCCACTCATTTTATGAAAGTCATTAACTGAAAGTGTGCATTTATCAGTCGATTTATGATTCTTTGGTGTGTGTTCATGTTTCAGGGCGATAAAGTACGAGCTCTAAAAGCTCAGAAAGTGGAGAAGTCGGTCATCGGGGAAGAAGTGGCCAAATTACTCGACCTGAAAAAACAACTTAGTCTCGCAGAGGGCAAGAACACAGAGCCGGCGGCTCAGAAAGCCAAGAAGAAATGAGAGAAAAGGTGAACATGAAGAAGAAGAAGAAATAAAAACTTTGTATTTTTTACAATATTTTCTGGGAACTACAGGTGAAACTCGAAAAATGAGAATATGGTGCAAAAGTTCATTTATTTCAGTAATTCAACTTAAAAGGTGAAACTAATATATTATATAGACTCATTACATGCAAAGTGAGATATTTCAAGCCTTTATTTGTTATAATTGTGATGATTATGGCTTACAGCTTATGAAAACCCCAAATTCAAAATTAGAATATTGTGAAAAGGTTTTCATATCTGTAAGCCATAATCATCACAATTATAACAAATAAAGGCTTGAAATATCTCACTTTGCATGTAATGAGTCTATATAATATATTAGTTTCACCTTTTAAGTTGAATTACTGAAATAAATGAACTTTTGCACCATATTCTAATCTTTCGAGTTTCACCTGTGTATATAAATATTTTCTGGGAACTACGGAATATGGGATACTGCACTATTTAACCACTCCTATAAAAATGCAACCAATGTTTTTTAAAATCAGTGAAATCTGTCAAAAATCCTTTTAAAATGCAATAAAATCAATGTATTACCCGTTTAATTCTTCTGATTTGTTACTGTGGTACAACCATGTATTTCATTCATACACTCAATAAACACCAAGACAAAAATCTCACAGACTCGATTCAGTTCATTTAAAAAAATTTAATAGCAAAATGTGTGTAGTACAAGTCTAAATAAAATCCAGATAAAAATTTGCTACGCTAATACAGTAATTCGGCATGCACGTTTCTTATCTTAACATTAGGATGATTACATGTAATGATGATTATGTGATACACGTATAGAAAAATAGGCATGGATCAGAGGCAGAGAGCGTTATAAACTGCTATTATTCTGAAAAAGTTTCATAAGTGAGAGCAAAATCACATTCGTAGTCTTCATCTAAACACACACACACACACACACACACACACTCGTGCTTAGAGGCCTCGGGTTGATGGTGAGCGCAGAGAGAAACGGCTCACAATCGATCAGAATAACAGTCCTGAGCTTCTAATCTCGACACATTTAAAGCCCTGTCGTTTACACATCACACCGGTTACAAGCTCGCCTCGCTTCTACAATCACGGTTACGGACACAATCACGTCGCTGCTTCTACAACCTGTTTATTGCAGTTCTGCCGTCGTCTCTGCTACGCTCCCCACAGAAACACTCACGGATGAACTATCAGCGTTCACATACTCAGAAAGTTCATTAACCTTTGGGTGCTTTCATACAATTTGGTGCGTTTTAGGCTCGTTTACCAGATGAATCTCACGAAAACCGGTCAAAAACACCCCGGCCCAAGTTATATTTTGCTTAAATAAAACGGTGTTTTCTTTAGATTTTTTGCATTGCGATTAGTTAATTGCAAACTGCATTTTTATTAATGTAATGCAAAATATCTCTTTCTTTAATTTGTGTCCTGTGATAATTTAAGCATTTGTTATACTGTCTTAATGTTTAATGCATTGTATTACAGTCTTTTTAATTTAGTGCAAAAACCTTCGTAAAATTAGTTTTTTTTTAATCTAATTTCTTCTTTGCTTTTGATATTTTATTGCTGTAATGCAATCTTATTCTTTAATTTATTCGTATTGTCATTGGTTAATTTCTAACATTAAAACATCATAATAGTACTTGTCTTTAATTTTTGCTGATTTAAATGTCTAAAAGAAAGTATTACAGCTCTTTTAATTTACTGCAAAACCTCAGTAAAATAGGCTTCATTTTTGTACCTAATTTCTTCTTTTCTTTGGTATTTTTATTGCTTTTCATTCGTTAAATTTAAAAACATGCACTTGCCTTTAATTTTTGCTTTAAATGTTTAACAGAACGCATTACTGTAATTTTAATTTACTGCAAAACTTGCTGATTTAAATGTAGTGCAAAAAACTGGAAAAACCGAAGATGTTATTTCATCTAATTTCATATTTGCTTTTGCTATTTTTATTACTGTAATGAAATCTCATTCTTTATTTTATTCAAAGTGTCATTCGTTAAATTTAAAAACATTTAAAAGGCACTTCCCTTTAATTTTTTGCTGATTTTAAAAGAATGCATTAGTCGTTTTTAATTTTCCTTTTGTGTGTGTGTGTAAAATCAGGCTTTATTTTCTCATCTAATTTCATATTAACTTTTGCTATTTTTGTTTATAATTCGTGATATTCTTTAAACTGTAACATTTATCATAGTTGCAAACATATTAAATTAGGCTTGTTTTTTCATCTAATTCCTTCTTTTTTCGTTTGATGTTTATATTAATGTAATGCAATCTCTTTCTTTCTTTTATTCAAAGTGTCAAATTGTAACATTTGACTTTCAATTCAACTGAAAACGGCTTTGTATTCTTTGTGCCCAATCGAATTGTGTTCGGGGTGAGGTTTGACCGGGGACGTGTTTCTTTCCGTTGCGCTCCACATTCTTTCTTTTCTACGGCTTGATCTGACTTTCTCTTTCTCTCTCGGCCGGCGGGAGACGCTCTGTGAACCTCCTTCTCTTTCTCCCCCCGTCCCACGTGTCTTTTATCTCCTTCTAAATGTGCATTTCATGGTCAATTGTTCAACCGCTTCAGCCCTGTTGCTCTTCACCTCCTGGTGTTGACGAGTCTCTCGATGAGCGCGCGCCTCGTCCTCTGCACCTCCTCTCCCAAGCGCTCGATCTCGGCTTTGAGGCGTTCGTTCTGATCCGTTAGCTCCTGCACTTTCCTCTCGTTCTCCTGCTCGCGCTCTCTCCTGCTCTTCTTCCCGGGGGATGGAGAGCACAGCGTGTCGGTGCTTCGCTTTCTCTTTCCGGGACGCGAGGAGGCGGGAGGGGACGCGGGCGGGGAGCAGTTTAGTGAAGGCGAACGGGACGCCGATGAGCAGGACGACGTGTCGGGAACGGTCGGGAGTTCCTCCTCGCTAACAGCCGGAGACGAAGGCGGATTGAGGTGGTATCCGCCGCTAACCATCGTTTCAACCGACCCAACGCCTCCTTCGCTTAGCAGCTCGAAGAACTCCGGCGGAAGCAAGTCCCCTCCGGACGAGACGTGTTCGGAATCGGCTCTCCGGTCGTCCTGTCGGGGAGGCGTTGGCGTAGTCGGCGGGTCGTCGGTAACGCGTTGCACGCCATCTCCCCATACCTGCCCCTCCGTCAACCAGGTGAGCGAACAGCTCTCCAACACATCCAGAAACTCAGGCTCCTTCTGCATTGAGAAGAGAAACCGTTAGGGGAAAACGTGTACGGACGCGACTATAGCACAGCGTTTGACGTTACTGACCTCGGAGCAAGGCGGGGCTCGCGTAAGTTTGGCCCCGCCTCCGTCGGAGCCCAATATATCCTGTAGGTCTTCATACCACGCCTCCAACTCTGCACCACACAGCGGCCCCACACCAGGGGGGTACAGCCACTCCGCAGTCATCGCACCAATCAGTCGCTATCCACAGACACAATACGATATGCTCCCACACCTAGCACACCAGACCTGGCCCACATAGAAATACATAAACTATCTAAAAGAAGTACTAAACACAAACCTCTGAATGATGTTGCTGTACTGTGATGATGAGACGATACATCTAGTGGGAGCTTTAACACATCAGCAGCACACCTGCGCCGCAGGTTTGGGGAATAGCTGATTTATTTGGGTGACCCGCTATATTATACGAGACATTAAGATTGACTGCTCGGCCACTGGGTGCAACAAGGACACATAGTGGACGAGCAGCGTTACTGCACAATGAATAATCAGCTTTATGGAGTTTCAGATGCATGCATTGAATGAAAAATAATCATTAATATAGCCTGTTTAGTGTTTGTTTATACTGAAATCATTCAAAGTTATTGTACTTCAAAAAAAATAAAAAATATTAAAAGGTGCTCACCTTTAAAAGTCTCTCTTGTCAATCAAGTTTGAATGTGGGTTGGCGGCGATATTTTGTCCCAATAATTCTAGAGAAATAAAAAATGGATCTTGTCAAGCTCACAGTACTTGGTCACAAAAACCATTTAAAAATAAAAAAAAGTAAAGAATGTTATCTATTTCAGCTGTGAAACAAGCCAAACACATGCAAGAACAAAGATGAAGATGTATCATAGAGGGAGGGGCTTGTGAATAATTAAGAACGATTGAATGCTCGTAAAAAAAATAACCCGTAGCAATTATTGATTCTTTAATCTTGAATCTAAAATTAGGTCATTGTGATTTTTTTTTATGTAAACAAAGGCGCATTGTGTGCTCGAGGGCGCCCTCTGCGTGAGTCTGAGCGCTGACGGTCTGTCAAAACAAGCTGAATGAATCTCGCTTTCAATGCGAAGACATTCAAGTTCAGCTGAAATCACCCCTCAGAGCTCGTTTGAGATGAAAACGCGACAAACACGCTACTTTAGATGTCTGTGAGACCATGAAAACAGCCCTAAAATATGCACCTGAGGCACTCCCAAGTGTTTTATTATTTTTATATAAATCCTAATGCGGTGTAAAGCGACACAACTAAATCAATACAATTTATATTATATATAATTAAAGCATAAATAATTATGTTATTGCGTTTATTTGTTGTATTCTGGCTTGTCACTCCAAAGATGACTAAATCGAATATTTTAAAATTAATAGTCAGTCGTAAAATTACACGAAAATTAACTTCTTATGTCACTTAAATAGTTTAAATAAATTTTATTTTATAAACTGTCAATCTGGAGCGGGGGTTTTAACGAAACTGACAGCGAGCCAATGACGTCATGGAATCAAAGTACAGGAGCGAGGAAACAAAGGGCGAACACTTCGCACCAAAATAACACTTTAAAAGTACTTTAACGACATAAAAACACAACGAGTTAGCCGTCATGACTACATCCATTTGATTACTTAAACTGTAAAAAGTTGATGTAGCGCGGTTCCGTTAGCGCAGTGTCACTGGCGATCAATAACACATAACAAAAAATAACCGTTAAAAATAAAACGTTCGCAAAAAAAGTTCTCAGGTGCGCGTCTAAAATGCCGCGAATGTGACGAAATGACAGCTGTCATTGCGTTGTTTTGTAAGCAAGTAACTATTAAAGTAAAAATAAACCAGGAAATAAAAGCGCAACGATGTTGCGTTAAATAAAGAAAATAACGGACGGGAAAGGAGGAGAATCCTGTGAAATTTGAGTTGAGCAACTGTATTCCAAAAACAGCCTGGGATAGTCGCCAAAACATGCGCATTCCTGTATCCCAAAAGGAAAAGCTTGACATACACCAACAAGAAAAGTACGTTACATCAGATCACAATAAAGAATAGAGAAATAGATGACACTCACCCTTTTCTTTTTATTATTTCTTTTCCTCGGTTGTTTCGGATTCAGGGTCTGTGTGTGTTTTTGTAGAGATTGGTGATAGCTCATGTTAACCATTGTTCAGTTGAAGTCACCGAGTGTGGATTTCGGAAACTCCCGGGGACATTTATAGAGTGACTCCAACCGAACTCTGGGGGAAGGATCTCAAGGTGCAACCTAACCGAGATTACGAGGAACTGACAGGAGATGGTCGTCCGTGTGCGCCAATCAAGCGAGGCGGTCGAAATTCTTCTGCTTAGAGACATCCAATGAGCAGGCGCGCTGGGCGGGACTTATTGACTTTGCTGGTTGTCTCGCTCGGTGCGAGTTTGTGTGAGCGGGAAGATGTGATGCAGTCATAAGACGGCCAGGACGAATTTGGGGCGTAAGGGAGTCACATGAAAGGAATGATGCAATCGTTGGCAACCGGTTTCTAGTTGGAGATAAGACTAGCAGAACCCGAGCATGTTTTATTAAACAACCTTTAGTTAAAAAGAAAAAAACTGACAAACTACCCTATAAGGATGTAGGAAAATGTGTCCATTTTTTGCTTGCGTTCGCATATGCACCTATAAAAAAAAATAAAAAAATAGGCAGCGTTATTATCCGTCGTCGTCGTGTGATACTGTACGCATTTATTCGCTCTTTTTTCATCTTTAATAATTCCACTCTAGTGACCTGAGGCGATTCTATCATGTTTCCAAATGCATCCAGTTCAGCACTATGGAACTAGGATATTCCATAGGAGTTTGAACAATCCCACCCCACCCACTGCGTTCCTCAGACATTTCATTCGACAACATAAGATACACAATCGGCAATTCGACACAAAGTATAGATTCTGCATTACAAAAAAACATAAAAGAACTTGAGTTGTTAGGCATGTTATTGTTCAACACACCTGTTTAGAATCGCTAAATGTGCCCATAAAGTGACGTTGAAATGGTAAAGGTCATTATCTAGTTCACAGATAAGTCTTGAAAGATCTTCCAGTGTACATCAGCACAAGATTAGGTTTTATACTGTGTCCTAGAATCCGCCCTAAATGTATAGCATATTTTCCAACATGGATCCTATAGATAGGACACTCAAATTGTGGATGTTTCAAAACGTTATTCTAAATTTCAGAATGCTGTCATATGGTCATCCAAATTAATTACAGATCGTAAGTGTTTTCAGAGAATAAAAATAAAGGTTCTTGGCATTGATGGTTCCATAGAGAACCTTTAACATCCATTGGACAAAAAGTTCTTTATAGTGGAAAAATGTTCATTAGATTATTAAAATGTTTTTGATACAAAAAAAAAAAATGTTTTAAGAACTGTTCCAAAAATGGTTAAGCCAATACCTTTTGTTTTTAAGAGTGTAGCACCTGCACAATGTTTTTAAATTATATACTTTAATGACCAGTTACTTGTTCAGGGTGTGATCTGAACCCTAAAACCCAAGTATTGTTTCAACATGGGTAAAAACCTAGTTAAAAGGATAGTTCACCCAAAAAAATTGTCATAATTTACTACTCGTATATCAAAATAAGATATTTTGAAGAATGTTGGTAACCAGACGGTTGACGGTATTGACTTCCATAGTATTTTTCCCTCTACTTTTCTGGTTACCGACATTCTTCAAAATATCTCCTTTTGTGTTCAACAGAAAAAACTCATATATGTTTGGAAGAACTTGAGGGTGAGTAAATGTCAAATGATGACAGAATTTTAATTTAAAATATGATATTCTGAAGAATGTTGGTAATCAGACAGTTTTTTCCCTCTGCTTTTCTTGGTTACCGACATTCTTCAAAATATCTTCTTTTGTGCTCATCAGAAGAAAGAAACTCATACAGGTTTGGAACAACTTGAGGGTGAGTAAATGATGACAGAATTTTTAATTATTGGGTGAACTGTCCCTTTAAGACTGTTGCTGTGGTGCTGGGAATAACTATAATGGTTGTTTTTACGGTAAAACCATAGGTAAAACACGTACTTTTTCGTGAGTGTACAGTTCTGACATATGTTTGACAGTTGACCGTTGAAACTGATACTCAACGCGCCAAGTCAAAAATTCAAACGTAACTGATCGAGATGATGTCAGTCACAGCCTTGTTTAAAAGCATCCCAGATTTTAACGTTAATCATGTGTTGTCCTGTAATATGATCCTTCAAATAAAATGATGGTAATTAGTTTACAATGGTATTTAATTAACAGGTGTACACCCCCCGTTTTAATCGCCTGACCTGTAACTCCTGGCCAACTGATGTCACCGGGGACTCATCTCGTTAGTATTCTGAAACTATTCCAAACACAAGAGTTAAGTAGTTAAACTTGCATGGTGCAAAGCGTGCAATGTATTGCCTAGCAACAGCGCAAGTGGGATGCGCGTAAGGTTAGCGAATAGAAACCTCAAATACTGTTTCCAGGAGCAGGGCAGCGCTCGCGTGGAGACGTCACGATCGGTTGGCTGTTGCTGTGTAGTGTGTATTATTCTCCCCACTGCCTAATGGTTATCACCTCCGAGCGTGTAATTCTATTGGCAGGTTACTCCTTTATTCCCTAAAGTTGTGTTTACTCAACATTTCTTTGAAGTTTTAACAGGTTTAACTCTCAATAACTCGATGTGTTTTGAAAACTTTGTCGAGTTACCTGCCTTCAACACAGTAGGAGGTTGATCTGATTTATATTTCTAACTCGCACCCAAGACTCACACCCAAAATGTTCATATTGTGCCAGCGAATCACATTTCTGCTCAAGAGAATAACACATTTTACAACACCATATGCTGAAATATCTCTGATTTCCTACATCTTTCCTCCACACTAAATAGGTTTTATCTGCGATTTCCCTCAGTAATTATAAAGTACTTACGGGCGAACCATTTTTTGTTTCCTCAGCTAACTGACACAATAAGGCCAATAAAGGTATGCGTGTGTGTAGAATCATTTTATAGAAGACGAACAGAAAAATCTTTCTCTCAGGATATTCTCGCCTCCTGCTCAATTCAATGAAACCACATTTCCAGATGAAGTTCACGAGCATCTAAGGTTACCAGACCCGTTTAAATGACATTTCGAGTAGTTTGAGGCTGATCATAAATTCGGCGGGAAACCGTTAAATTAACATTTGTAGCCCTCGTTGTTGTTTTCTTCTTTATTGACTACACAGTAAAACATAAAAGACGACTATTTGATTTTTTCGTGCTTTATTTTATATAAAGCATGGTTATTGAGAAGAGACTACAAACAGTTATCAATAAACAACTTAAAATATAAAAATGCATATTGATAACATTTCTTAATTTAGAATTTAACATCTGAAGATAAATCATCCATTGTAGTGACAAAAAAACAATAGCTTAAAAACACGCCAGATTTTTTTTTTTTTTACAATATGCAAAGTTTAAAAAACGGTGTAATTTTATAACAATCCCTTCAAATCTACAGAAGTGCATCTATTTATTTTTGTACCAGGGCGCGTTTTCCTCCTCACGAGTGGCTCTCTCGCGCCTCCTAGTGGCTTAGAAATTGTACGGAATTCCCAACCCCGACAGCAGCTACTGCGCATGCGTGGAAGAAAACTCCATGTTTTTTTTTTTGGCACGGGATCCTAAGGAAAAATAGGAACTTGGAAACGAAGATAAACTAAAAGCACCACCACACAGCCACAATCCACCCCTCGCTCGCATATGCACACAGTAAAGACGCGTAGGAGAGTTCTGAACCTTTGAATGAAGCGATCGCACGCTCCGCGGCCGAGCAGGATTCACGCGAAATTGGACGACAATGCACGGGGCGCAATAAAACCAAGCGTTATTGCTCTTTGTTTTTAAGCAGGACGGCTCGGATGGATGAAGACGCGGGGAAGTGCCTAAAAATCACACGGCGTTCGTAACAGCTCAAGCAACGGCGACATTTGCAACTCGAGTCCATCGAGACGCTTGTTCTGTCTTTCGCCTGTGTTGTGCAGCGCGCCGAAGAAGCAGGAAACTTCGTAAACAGAGAGGTACGTAGCCCGCGAGCTAACGAAAGCTAACAGCGCGTCTACGCTGTACGCGACGCGTCAAACTCGAACGCTTCCGTTTTAATGTAACGAAGAACGCTTCGTTGGTTAAAATCGGAGTGTTATCGCATGTCCCGTAAGCTTACAGTATAAATGGGATGTTTAGGAATGGGCCAGCTAGCCGTCAATACGCGACATTTGTTTATTCTTCGGGACGTACAGTCTTCAAAAGTACCAGTGCTATACGTGGGCGTACGTATTCTTATTTACTTTCCATATTTACGTCCTCCTTTCTCCGAAACTTTGCGCACTTTTTATTTGTGGTGGTTACTAGTTTTCTCTTTAGCTCGCTGCTCCACTAGTCAAATCCCGTCATAGCCTGAGCATTAGCCGCTTCACAGTCACCCGCCTTAATGCCAGAATAAAAAACCGTTAAAATTTCATGGATTTAGGCTGTGACATCATCTCGATCGCTTACATTTGAATTTTTGACTTGGCGCGTTGAGTATCAGTTTCAACTGTCACTTTTCACTCTACTGTCAACCATATGTCAGAACTGTACACTAACAAAAAAGTACCGTGTTATTGGACTTGTACCCTAGTACCACCATGGTATTCAGTGTCAGAAACCGTGGTACATGAATATGGTGATCAAACATTACTTTGTTGTATATCAATGTAATCTAAATTTTCAAATATCTATAAATGTGAATAATTTTTCCAATGGTTATATTGAAAACCGTTAAATAATAGTTTATATTACTCAAACAATGTCAATCCCACCTGAAATGTATTTTTTCGGTAGTTAACACTTTACAATAAGGTTTATTAGTTAACATTAGTTCATGTATTTACTAACATGAGCTAACAATGTGCAATACATTTGTTACAGTATATTCATCTTTGTTAATGTTAGTTAATAAAAATAGCCTACAGCTGTTCATTTTAGTTCACAGTGCATTAACTAATGTTAACAAATACAACCTTTGATTTAAATAATGTATTAGTAAATGTTGACATGAGTATTAATTAAGATTAATAAATGCTGAAGACGTATTGTTCATTCTTAGTTCATGTTAACTAAGGTAGTTATCTAATGAACCTTATTGTAAAGTGTTACCATTTTTTCTTTGTTTTCAGGTTGTCAGCTTGTGGAGGGTTCCATAAGAGCATCCCAGTCCGTTTAAGAGGACCTCAGAGGATTGTGTCCAGACGGATTTGTTGTTCTGTTGCGTTGTGCTTCGTTAATGCTGCGTATATGTCCTCCAAAGGGTGTATTTCACGAATGGTGCTGACCAAGGCTGTATAAAAATGAAAAGGTACAAAGCAAAAGTGCTAAGTTGCAGATATCGTACACACTGCAATGTTGATCTGCACTACAACTGCATTTATTACATTTTGGTTGCATGATTGTGTGTGTTGAATACAAAAACCTATGATGATTAACAAAGTGATTACCATCATTTAATGCTCAGAAGAGGAGTGACAATATTTAGATTCAGTGTGAACACAATTCCAACTTAAACAAGTCTTAACTAAATCGATCTTTATCAAATCTAGTTTGAAGCTGGTTTCTGTCACATCACTGATCTATTATAAATGTAGTTGTCACTATAGGATGACACCTGTACCTACACTTTATGAATGGCTACTGAATCCAAAATAGTTCAATTAAATCCTTAGAAGAGGAGTGACAGCCATATGAGTCGATCTTCATTAAACCTAGTTTGGATCCGATTTGAAGCTGGTTTCTGTCATTACACTGATTTATTTTTAACGTAGTTGTCACTACAAGATGACACCTGTACCTACACTTTATGATTGGCTACTGAATCCAGAATAGTCCGATTAAATGCTCAGAAGCGGAGTGACAACCAACCATATTTAGATTCAGTGTGAACACGTTCCCATCTGAAGTGTAAGTCGTTCTCTGTCAAATCTAGATCTGATTTGAAGCTGGTTTCTATCTCTACACCGATTTATTGTAAATATTGTTGTCACTACATGATCACACGTGTACCTAAACTTTATGAATTGCACCTGAATCAAGAGAATTCAGATTAAATGCTCAGAAGCGATGTGACAACCATATTCAGTGTGAACACAGCTCGAACTGAAAATAAGCCGATCTTCATCAAATCTAATTTGGATCTGAATTGAAACTGGTTTCTGTCTATAGGAGCTGGATGTGTGTGAGCAGAAAATGACGGGGGGCAGTGAGAGTGCAGCAGGTGAAAAAGATGGAGGTACGGCGCTCATCGCTCAGATCCCGGTTGGCTGGCAGAGGAAAGTGGGAGATGGGCTTGTGTCTTACATCAGGTACGTCTGCACATTATTTAGCATTGTTCACTGTGACATGTTTGCTGTTCTTCTCAAATATGAACAGTGTTGCTATTAAAAGGTACATGGGGAACATTTTTCACCAAGTTGCCTGACAATGATGATTACGCACAGATGTGTGTGAATCATCCGAGCAAACACATGCAAGTGCGTTTAGCTTTCATGCTAGGGTTTCTGGTGCCGAGTGTGTTTGACATTAGGGTTTAGTTAGTGTGGAAGAGGTTCTCCAAACTGGTCTGCGCTGCGGTAGAGTTTAGGTGAAGATCAGTATGGTTTGTAAGTGGTAAAGCAAACTGGTATCAGTCAGTAGAAATACGTCTAGGAATATAAGACATTACAGATCATAGAGTCAAGCTAACATTATGTATTAATTTAAGCAGGTTAAGCTCATTAAAGCAATGGTTACATGTTGAATTCATAATGATTAAAATAATGTGGAAAAATGTGTATTTTGTATGTTGATTCCGAGTTTGGAGTCATCTGAAGTCCTCATATGCAAGATTACAGTTTATACTACAGGGCTGTTGAATGCTTGAATCTGATTGGTTGATGAACGTGTGCAATTATTTTCAGGGAAACGCATGGATAAAGTAGTTCCTGGCAGGTTTTGACCGCATTACAGATCCAGATCACTTCACCAAATGATATCAATTATTTCAAATTTCTTACAGCCGACAAGAGCAAAAGAGCAAAACCCACTGCGACACTGACCAAGCAAATAAATATAGTAAACAATAGGATAAAAATGTCAAATTATTTCCATGTTTTTACAAAAGTTATGTTTTATTATGTACTCAAATACACACACACATACAGAACAGACACACAATTACGTTTTGGAATAAGCAATGAAGGTGTGTGATGAAATGTGTAAGAAATTAGTCCTACACACAGGAGCTTTTTTTATGGATAAAAACCTGCCAAATGTCTTGACATACAACAATGTGTTGAGGTGTAGTAACTGTAGTGAAAGCGTAAAAATTTACTGAATTATTAGAAAATTATAAAGCGGTGTGGCCACGTTACCACCTCGGGTGTGCATTATCTTCTAAAAATGCCACGGCCTGTTGTCAAATATTCCTTACATAATGCATTTGTCATTGTTACTTGTCAGATATCAAATGAAGTGTAAAAATAGCTGTCAAACTATGCCATATCAATCTCTCTGTTCTCCAGCCCGAGTGGTACAGTCCTTCGATCTGTGGATGAGGTGAGGGTGTATCTGCGGACAGACGGCACATGTAAGTGTGGTCTCGAGTGCCCGCTTGTCCCAAATAAGGTGAGGTCAATATTCAGTGCTGAAGCCTCCTCATTTATGATGTTTCCAGTGCAAACTTGATTGCAAATTATGTTTTACAGTCCTTCCAGAAAAACGCTGAGTTTTTTTGTGATTGTTGCGGGCAAAAATCCTTGATTATGCGGCCAGTTTTCTTAAAAAATGCGATGGAATATGCGGGATTTTTATGCAATTTTATGCGATGAAATTGCGGGAACTTGCAAAAACTGTGGTTTGATGAAAAAGAGGAAAAAAAGTGATTCCCCAACACCTGTTCTCTCTACTACTACCTTAAAGGGTTAGTTCACCCAAAAATGAAAATGATGTCATTAATGTCTCTCCCTCGTGTCGCTCCAAGCCCGTCAGACCTCCGTTCATCTCCGGAACACAGTTTAAGATATTTTAGATTTAGTCTGAGAGCTTTCTGTCCCTCCATTGTAAATGTATGTACGGTATACTGTCCTTGTCCAGAAAGGAGATAAAGACATCATCAAAGTAGGCCAAAGCCCCTTTCACACAGAGATTCCGGAAAATACACGGATAAAGCGACCCGGGATTTGACCCGGGTTAGTTTGATTTTGCTTCATTCACACTGCCAGTGATTTGCCGGAATCAGAGAGCGCGTTCACACACAACCCGTGTATGTTCCGGAAAGACACGTGACATCGTTGTGACGTAATGTCTCAGGAACGTGTATAGTTTGCTTATGAGCTGCCATTTCTCTCTGGAGAAACCACGCTTGTGCATTTTTTTCTCTGATTCCGATCATAAACTAGCACATTACGTGCCGTTTCACTAGCCTGCTTTCACTTCACTTCAGCGTCATCATTACGACATGGCATTGGTTACGGCTTTTGTTCACACAGCGCGCATTCCGGGTCTGAACACGGCAATGTTACTCGGCCCCCAACCCGGCATCAATCCCGGCATCAGTCCCGGGTCGTGTTTGCGTTCACACAGAAGGCACTCTGGCAATTTGCCGGGTTCAAAGCGCTGTGTGAAAGGGGCTTATGTGACATCAGTGGGTTAGTTAGAATGTTTTGAAGCATCGAAAATACATTTTGCTCCAAACATAACAAAAACTACGACTTTATTCAGCATTGTATTGTGTTCCGGTTCTGTTGTGGATCCGCGTTCAGTGCCGCTGCTGACGTGTGTCTGGTGTGTGTGTGTGTGTGTGTGTGTGTGTGTGTATTCGGGTTCTGTTGTGGATCCGCGTTCAGTGCCGCTGCTGACGTAAGACGCTGCTGACGTGTGTCTGGTGTGTGTGTGTGTGTGTGTGTGTGTGTGTATTCGGGTTCTGTTGTGGATCCGCTGTTCAGTGCCGCTGCTGACGTAAGACGCTGCGGACGTGTGTCTGGTGTGTGTGTGTGTGTGTGTGTGTGTGTATTCGGGTTCTGTTGTGGATCCGCGTTCAATGCCGCTGCTGACGTAAGACGCTGCTGACGTGTGTCTGGTGTGTGTGTGTGTGTGTGTGTGTGTATTCGGGTTCTGTTGTGGATCCGCGTTCAGTGCCGCTGCTGACGTAAGACGGTGCTGACGTGTGTCTGGTGTGTGTGTGTGTGTGTGTGTGTGTGTGTGTATTCGGGTTCTGTTGTGGATCCGCGTTCAGTGCCGCTGCTGACGTAAGACGCTACTGACGTGTGTCTGGTGTGTGTGTGTGTGTGTGTGTGTGTATTCTGGTTCTGTTGTGGATCCGCGTTCAGTGCCGCCGCTGACGTAAGACGCTGCTGACGTGTGTCTGGTGTGTGTGTGTGTGTGTGTGTGTGTGTATTCGGGTTCTGTTGTGGATCCGCGTTCAGTGCCGCTGCTGACGTAAGACGCTGCTGACGTGTGTCTGGTGTGTGTGTGTGTGTGTATTCGGGTTCTGTTGTGGATCCGCGTTCAGTGCCGCTGCTGACGTAAGACGCTGCTGAGTCTGACGTGTGTCTGGTGTGTGTGTGTGTGTGTGTGTGTGTGTGTGCGTCTGGTGCGTCCGTGTATTCGGGTTCAAATAAATATGGCTGGGCAAAAAAATGCAAGTCTTCCTCTGTGTGGAAATCCTTAGACATGTTTGTGAAGATTGTTTTGTTTCCAGCGTGCGTCTCCCTCAGACTGTAGACGAAGCTCGGGCGCACCAGACACACACACACACGTCAGCAGCGTCTTACGTCAGCGGCGGCACTGAACGCGGATCCACAACAGAACCCGAATACACACACACACACACACACACACACACCAGACACACGTCAGCAGCGTCTTACGTCAGCAGCGGCACTGAACGTGGATCCACAACAGAACCCGAACACACACACACACACCAGACACACGTCAGCAGCGTCTTACGTCAGCGGCGGCACTGAACGCGGATCCACAACAGAACCAGAATACACACACACACACACACACACACACCAGACACACGTCAGCAGCGTCTTACGTCAGCGGCGGCACTGAACGCGGATCCACAACAGAACCCGAATACACACACACACACACACACACACACACACACACACACCAGACACACGTCAGCAGCGTCTTACGTCAGCAGCGGCACTGAACGCGGATCCACAACAGAACCCGAATACACACACACACACACCAGACACACGTCAGCAGCGTCTTACGTCAGCAGCGGCACTGAACGCGGATCCACAACAGAACCGGAATACACACACACACACACACACACGTCAGCAGCGGCACTGAACGCGGATCCACAACAGAACCCGAATACACACACACACACACACACACACACACACACACACACACACGTCAGCGGCGGCACTGAACGCGGATCCACAACAGAACCCGAATACACACACACACACACACACACGTCAGCAGCGGCACTGAACGCGGATCCACAACAGAACCCGAATACACACACACACACACACACGTCAGCAGCGGCACTGAACGCGGATCCACAACAGAACCAGAATACACACACACACACACACACACACGTCAGCAGCGGCACTGAACGCGGATCCACAACAGAACCCGAATACACACACACACACACACACACACACACACACACACACGTCAGCGGCGGCACTGAACGCGGATCCACAACAGAACCCGAATACACACACACACACACACACGTCAGCAGCGGCACTGAACGCGGATCCACAACAGAACCAGAATACACACACACACACGTCAGCAGCGGCACTGAACGCGGATCCACAACAGAACCAGAATACACACACACACACACACACGTCAGCAGCGGCACTGAACGCGGATCCACAACAGAACCGGAACACAATACAATGCTGAATAAAGTCTTAGTTTTTGTTATTTTTGGACCAAAATGTATTTTCGATGCTTCAACACACTCTAACTAACCCACTGATGTCACATGGACTACTTTGATGATGTCTTTATTTCCTTTCTGGACAAGGACAGTATACCGTACATACATTTACAATGGAGGGACAGAAAGCTCTCGGACTAAATCTAAAATATCTTAAACTGTGTTCTGAAGATGAACGGAGGTCTGACGGGCTTGGAGCGACACGAGGGAGAGACATTAATGACATCATTTTCATTTTTGGGTGAACTAACCCTTTAATGTAAAGAGTCATTTCTTACTACTTCCTATGATAAGCAAGCATATACATCACAGAAAGTGCTGGGAATATTTCAGTTCTCATCTTGTTTTATTTCAGACCTTAATAAACACATCAAACTTACAAAACATTGATGAGTCAAACAAGTTCTGTAGCTTTACAAAAGGAATATGCTACAACTTCTGTAAAAATTAATAATAAAAATAATAATAAAAAAAGTGTGCTTTTTTGCAACGAAAATGCGAGGATTATGAAATCATGCAAGCCTTGCATATTTTGCCTGGAAATCGGCAATTTATGCGGCTGAAATTGCTGCGTATTTGAAAAATTCGGCCCCTGTTTAAATATGCGGACTTTGGCTGATTATGCACTGAATCATGCGATCGCATAATCGTGTGTTTCTGGCGGGACTGGTTTTAATGATTGCAGTTATGTTCGTAATGCAATGCTAGCGTACTGCTGACTGCATACTGTATATGAAACTGATTTATAAAACCATCAACTATGTTGTTATGTTGCATGTTTCAGTGTCCGCTCATTATCATTTTATAAATAAAACTGATTATTTTAAGGAAACTTTTAAAATCCCAACTGGCAGCTATTCCATGCATATGGAAATTTTGCTTACTGTGTGCATTAGAAATACGTCATACTTCAGAAATAATAATAATAAGAGTGGGCATGCAATTCTGAACAGAGTCTGCAACTTTATTTCATGCATTTAAATAAATGTTATTTTAAATCAACACAGGTCTTTAATTTTGACCCTGCTGCGATGGTCCAAGCTCCTGGTCATCATTCGAGTAGAGTAGAGGAAGACATGACCAAACTCTGTAACCATCGCAGGAAAGTTGATGCCATGGCAGCATTATGCCAAAGCAGGCAACCCTCCCAACCCCCCCCGCCGGCTCAAGCCACAGGTACTGCACCTTAATACACACATTACTCCAACACAGTTACTTTTTAGAAGGAATTTTACAGGTTCTGTGACATGACATGTTGAAAGTACATTACTGTAAACTCATATTTAATAGAGATGCACCGATTGATCGGCTGGTGACCGGAATTGGCCGATTTTCACGTGATCGGCCATGATCGGCGACCGGCCGGTCAGTCTGACAAGCCGATTTTATGCCGGTCAAATGCACTCGGGCGGCGCATGATTAACATCGCGCAACATCAGCATCACACGTGCACACGGAACACACATGTAGGAAACCTCGTGAATTACGGCCGTTTCACACCGCAAACGTGAGCAGCGCATATTATTTCCGGCGTGCATGTTCCCTCCTACTTTCACTCGCTCCTACGGGTCTACATCCCTACCCAGAAGCCTACGATCAGTCAATGAGCGACGGCTCATGGTACCATCACAGAGAGCCTCAAAATCACTCTCCAGAACATTCTCATTCACGGTACCATGCTGGTAGATTGATCTGCGCACCCTCATCCGGAATGCAGAATCCCTGACAGCATTCAAACGACAACTGAAAACGCATCTCTTCCGGGAGCACTTAACATAAAAAAATAAAATAAAAATTCTTTCCTTTTTTCTTTAAATCCTTGCTTATCTGGCTTATGCTACTCCGAGCAATGTCTGAACTTTGTATTTTGAGCACTTCTTGCGTTGTATTTGTCTCTTCGCGATGACTCGCTTGGTTTAGTCCTCAGTTGTAAGTTGCTTTGGATAAAAGCGTCTGCTAAATGACTAAATGTAAATGTTAATCAATGAGTGCATTCACACCGGGAGCAGGAGCAGCGCAGGAGCAGCGGTGAAGCGCGCGTTTCGGCGCAGAGTCTATTTTTGCTGCACTGCTCACGCTCAATTAAAGTCAAAGCACACTTTTGATGGACAAAATAAATATGATTTCACACAAAAGTGCCCAAAATGCACAGAATTTGCATGTCTGGTGTGTTTTAACAAGAACTGGAGTATATGTCAGAAAAGAAAATGAGTTTTCTTTTTGAAATGAACACATTTTTTTAGTTGGATATTGGATGTGAAAAGAAGGAAATGGTTCTTCCATAACACTGCACTTTAGATGTGTGTGAATTTCCCACACCAGGAGTAATTTATATAGTCCTATTTTATAGCGATTACTGTTCAAAAATGTTCTATGCAAAATGTAAAATGTTCTACTTAAGAAAAGAGAGAAAATAAATATTTGTGTGTGCTGTAAATTGGTTAGAAAAAATGAAATCGGAATCGGCTAAAATCGGCATCGGCAGGTCAAACTCTGAAAAATCGGTAATCGGAATCGGCCTAGAAAATTGTAATCGGTGCATCTCTAATATTTTGGTTTGTTTTTACAAATTGAGGGGCGAGTTGAACTGATTATCTGATTGATTAACTTTAATTGAACCCAGAATATTCCTTTAACGGTTTGTCTTAAGGTAAATTGCAGTAAATGTCCAGTAAAGATTATTCTCTACATCTTGTATCCAAATATTACCCATTCAAATTATTACATTTGGCTAAAGCATGCAGTCAGTCAAGAGTTCATCATCTTCAGTATTTAGTTTTCTACATTTTATATATAAAAAAAACATTAGCTCAAGTGTATTAGCCATATCAGAATATGATTTAACCATAAGTATTCATCCCCTTGGAGTTCGAATCACAGTGGACTTAAAGTTTGTCATTGATCTGTGAATTGTTGCTTTGATGTTTCAATAGTCACATCTTTATAGGACAGTTGCAAATAGAAAGTCACTGTTAAAATATGTCATATGATATAGCTACAGTTTGCTAGAAGGCATGTCTGAGACATTAAAGCCAACTGGAAGAAGATTAATGCTAAGTTTTGTTTTAAGCCAGACACTGCTCATAAGTATATTGATGACAGCACTGGTCTAAAATGGACTTGAATACTTATGCAAATGTTTATTTTGTGTTTATTAAGCAGTTTTCTCATTGTTCAGTGTCACAAAAACCGAAAATCCACTGTGGTTAGCATGTTAGCATGTAAAACAAGCATTCCCAAAGGGGTAAATAGCTTTTATAGGCACTGCATCTCTCCTTTAAGTTCAGCTTTCTTCAGTAAGGTGAGTTGTGTTGAAAATATATATATATATATAATGGCGATCTGAGCCATTTTTTGTTCTCCGCCATTTCCACAAGGGTGTAGCACAAAGGATTTGACACGTGAATCCATAACTTATCTTGTAAAAATTAACTTTTTTCGTTGTCAAGTAACAATTTAAGAGAAATCAAACACAAAATATATTATACACTTATTCACGTTCCAAAAACATGAATTCGCTCCTTTTCACAGTCAAAAGACTGTCTAGCACCAACCCTTCCTCCTTGCTTATTCTGCTTCAAATTATTACACGTGCGTAGCACGTATAAACTAGTCAAATCTCGCGATACAATACAAACAACTCAAAATATGCATTTATTTATTTATGGGGACATTTAATTTAATATTCAACAATATTATTGATCTGCCTGCATTGACACCATTATATGACAACTGAGCTGGACGATGACATCACGGTTTTCTCCAGAGTGGCTATATATAAAAATGAACTAAATTAATAACATTTTTACAACAAAAATGAAACTTCACTGAACTTTCTTAAGCTGGACTGTGACGCTATTTTCTTCTGGAAACAAACTTTGTTGCATTGTTGTCCTGTTATCTCTGTAAAGCTGCTTTGAAACACTCTGTATATTACACAATTGTTAATGTAGTTATGTCTCTAACAGTATGCTTGTTTGTTTAAGGAGGTGTTGCATGTTCAGTGGACGGCAGAGAGCTGAGAGGATCGATTGTGGCTCATGGAGACGGCGCCCATTGCACTTACCCTCCTCCAAGACACAACCAGCCCAAATCCAACATTGGCTTTCCTCTGTCCTCTTCTCGCTCTGTTCTGCAGCAAAACGGTTCCCCTATCTCACGACCTCCAGAACAGGGTTCCCCTTTAAAGAAGCCCCAAACGCCATTGGCATATACGAAACAGCAGTGGAGCCCTCATCCATCGATCTCCCAAAACATCCCTCAAAGGACAGTGCATAACCCTGCTTCTCCAAGCAATGTAAAACCAAGTGTGCACACGCATGCGCATCCTCCAGACCCTTCAAACTCCTTTTCCTTATCGCCCTCCTCATCCGTAGCTCTCAGTGGTCGAGCACATTCACAGGGAGTGAGCGTTAAGTCGCCGTCGTCTCTATCACCCTCACGTTCCCTAGACACCTTCTCACCCCACCAACGCTCTCGCCACTCCTCGACGTCTTCGCTCTCAGATCACGGGACCCCGGGGTGTGTCTTCAAACCGTTGAAAGCCACCATGCCATGCTCCTCTCCCAAGCTCCCTCTTGCGCCTTCCAGTCCGTGTAGTCGCTTGGAGGGAATTCTTCAGCACTACAAAGACTGTAGCACCTCCAATGCTAACCAAAGCAACCATCTGTCGTTGGTGCATCCCAATGTAGGCGACAAGAGGAACGGATTGAGTTCTACTCAAGGACAAGAATTGCTTGGCGTTCCTTTAGGACAGATTCTCAACCAACAGAAGATCCAGCAAAAGAGCCACATCAATAACTCCTTCCCGGCTAGCAGCCTTCTTTCCGCCGCCGCTAAAGCTCAGGTGGCCAACCAGAAAACCCCAAGCCAGCTCAATGCATCCGATGCGCTCGCCACACTCCCTCTTACTAGCCTGGACAAGGAGCAACACTCAAAGGTATTGATTAGCACTTTAAACAGTAGCGTCCACCCAACATCCGCCAGAACGCAGTCCCTCACCGCTTTGTTGCTCCCGCATTCCCCTTCCCTTTCCCCGGCTTCGCCCGCTGAGAAAAACCTGCGGCGCAAACGGCAAAGGCATTCGCCCACCGTTTTAAGCATGCGTAAAGACTCACACTTGGGTCGGAGTCCGGATCTATCCGGGCCTCCGATGCTCATCTCCCCATGCCTTTCCCCAACTTCTCCTCCCGTACCTCACTCAGACAACCACCGGGTATCCGTCGCTCCTCCGAATGCCTCCTTCTCGAACAGTTCTCTTAGGTTGCAGGATTCGGAGGAAGGAAGGAAACCCGGTAATTCAATCCCACTTTCCTCTCCATCTCCATCCCAGCCGCTTTCCGCTCTACTTCAGCTTCTTAGCATGCAAAGCGCAACCCAGCAATCCAGTGGGGCAATTGCCATTCCTGGACACCGGCACACAAACACATTGCCCTCTTCACCCAGACCCATCACGCCACAGACGCCCCATTGCGAAGGACAGTCCACATTACGAGTACCCAACCCGCAACCTCAACCCCAAAGCACAGTGCCCATTCCCGAAACTCCTTCCCAGCCGCCCCAATCCCAACCCTTTACTTTAATGGGTGACGAAACAACCTTGAACCTCAAAACCACCTCCAGCAACACCTTCCTGAACTTGAGCCAGCCCCACACGGGCACGACGCCGGACCTCAACAGTTCGATTCTGAGCATGATGAACCAGATGTCCTCGACCTCCTGCTTCCCGGAGAAAAGTTATGAGTCCAAATCGACAGAGACTTGCCCTGACCACAATACCTACCAAATTAGCCAGTCTAATCACAACCAAGCTGTGGAAAGTAAAGGTAAGACTTCTTTTCTTGTGTTTCTTGGGGCAGTTTTAAACCAGGGACTCGATTTACGAAAATCTTCTGTTATACAAATATAACTCATAAATATTTTCTTAAAATCCATCTGTAGTCAATTTAGTCATTTTATCTCTTAAAACTCATCTTTGATCACCAAAATGACATATTTAAATGTTTTTTTTCTTGGGGAAAAAAATCTTCATGCCTTAAAATGACTTGAATGTAACTCCACACCCTTGCCTCATTTAGTATATGTGGTTCTATGAATATGCAAATGAGCCCCGCCTCCACTCACTCAGTCAGTTTAGAGATCCACTTGTTGACATCACACGTTGATCTGATTGGTTACAACAGGAGTATTCAATTAAAGTTCCAAGAGCTCCGATCTCTATATTCTATACTATATTCTATAATATATTCTCTATATTCCTTCCCAGTGGAGGTCCGGACAATACTTTTTTGGTACAGTTATACATTTCCATCAAGACAGTTGTAGTACTTAGTAAAAGGAAAAAAAACTCAAAATAGTCGTTAAAGATGAGAATGTTGGGCCCTGAGAGCCAAAACAGAGATGTCTAAGAATTTTTACCAAAAATGTATCCAAAAAAAAAGTAAATATTAACAGGCTATTTTTATTTATTTTACTCAAAGCATTAAACTAAAAACAAACAATGGACATAATCTAATAATCAGAACTCTCATGAAGACAAAACAAAGTTAACTACGGTTGTAATTTACAAGTTTTTTTTTGTCCTTGCCAAATTCTAACATTGTTTTTTTTTTTTATAGCTTTTATTTATCAAGTACAAGAAACCGACATAAAGTGCATACAGGAATACAATGTCTTTTCTTTTTTTAGAAACTTAAATGAACAACACCCCGCCTCCCACTCCTCCCCCCTCCCGAAGAATGCTCCACTTAAAAAATAAATAAATAAATAAAAAACACTATATATGTACACATACATACAATTATATACACCTATACTTATCTAACATTGTTTATTATTAAATGCTCTTCATATGCTGATTAATAATGCTAAATGTATGAAAAAAAAAAACCTCTAAAGATGCTACATATTAACTTATCTCAAACATGGTTTATTTATAAGGTCGGAGTCTTCTGTATGACAGCTTTCTCGTTTTCTGCAGCGTTTTAGCAAAAGTATATATTTTGCTGCTCACCGTGTTCCTGCTACTGTTGTTATTAAAATAACCGTCTCATCTGCAGCTCTTAATGCGGCGCTTTACGTTTTTAGCGAGGAAGAGAGAAGCAACGTGCACAGAGCAGATAAGGCTTGCACTTTTGGCTCTAGATAAAAATATTATATATACTCGGAAAATTTGAATATCTTGCAAAAGTTCATTTATTTCAGTAATTCAACTTAAAAGGTGAAACTAATATATTATATAGACTCATTACATGCAAAGTGATTATTTCAAGCCTTTATTTGTTATAATTTTGATGATTATGGCTCACAGCTTATGAAAACCCCAAAGTCAAAATTAGAATATTGGAATATTAGAATATTCATTACCGTTCTCAACCCTGAGCGCTTGTGTTGTGAACCGCTCCATTGTTTTGACACGCTGCTCACTTTAATCTGTAGAAACGGTAAAATCGTGCAATTATGTCCCGGTCCGCCATTTGGATTACAAGGTCGTTTGTGACGTCAGAAACACCAGCGATTTCACACCGTGTTTTTGAGACTGTCTTTGGTTCACTGCAGTTTTAAGGAGGAAATACTCAGCAATGCTGTCGACTTATGAACTTACACATGGTTTGTCTTAAAGCATATTAAAAACGCCACATAAACAACAATAAAAGCTGGATTTTCAGCACAAGGGGACTTGTTTAAGAAACTAGATAAGAGTATTTTTGGAAATGCAAAATATTCACAAAAGTTTTTCTCTCAAGTTAAGAATAATGTTATGCTTTAAGAATGTTTTCGAAGAGCTTTTGTTTGGGGTTGTCCGTCTCACACTTGTGTTTTCTTGGCAGGTCCCGTAGAGACGATGGATCACCCGGACTCGGACACAAGATTGCTGGGTGGTTGTGATCCCGACCACAGCCTCTCTCTATCCGGCTCCTCGTCTTCCGAGCTTCCCAACCCCGGTGTTTCCCTGCCGCTAGCGGAGGCTTTTCCTTTCATGACCCAAGAACAGCTCCTCCAGCTTCTCTCCTCCAATGCCGGTCTACCTTCCCTTCTTCCACCCTTCCTCGGATCCCTACCTTTAGGACTCTGGACGGGCGGCACCCAATCCCAGCATCCCCAGCCAACCAGTGCCATCCTAAACCAGGGCGCTCATCTCAACGTCATAAACCAGGGCGATCTTCCTCTCAACCTCATGAGCCTTTTAAACCCACCGGGTTCGGCTCCAGCTTCTCCCACTGTTGCAGGGATTGAAGGTGGTGAAAAACCCCCAGGGCTTCAAGCCCTCCTCATGGCTTCTTTGCTTCTCGGGCAGAATCCGGCCGCCATGTTGCCCTTGCCCGCGCTCAACCTCGAGCTTCCCACGCCTCAACAACAGGTCTTTCCGGATGGAGTATCTCTGGAGAAAACACCTACTCTTCTGGACTCTGTTTTGATGGGGCCGGGGCTCCTGGAGGCTCTTCAAACTCTTCAAGCAGACGGCCAGTCGCTTCTTCTTTCCGCACCTCTCACTCCTCCCGCCTTCTTGTCCCTCAATCCCGCTCTTCTGGCCGCGGCTCTCGCCCAGACCGAACCCCTTCCCAACCACACGCCATCCCCCCCGCCTCATTCTCAGGTATACACACTGGCCAACACAAATTGCATGCTTCGCTACACATGCACATACAGTCTGCATGCCTCTGAATGCTGTGTTGTCGTCTGCGACTGGGTTTCCCAACCCTAGTGGTAGACAGTGGAACTGCATGTGATTTGTGAGATTTTAAAATCCCCCTGACCTGTAGTCATTAAATGCATCCCTTAAAACTCATCAAAATGACATATTTAAATGCGTTAAAATATCTTGAATGTATTCAGCAATGAAAATACTCAGAAAATACTCAGCAATGCTGTCGACTTATGAATTTACACATGGTTTGTATTAAAGCTTATTAAAAAAACACCACATAAACAACATTAAAAGCTGTTTTTTTTACCACAGGGGGACTTTAATACAAAAGTGAAAACTTTAAATGGGTAATTTTTAACCTCAAAATCAACAGGGAAAAAATAGAAAATTATAATAATGATGCATTATTTTAATTGTAATTTGAAAAACTCCTTGTATCTGATGTAAATGCATTTATTATGACCTCAATATTTAAGATAAGGGGGCAAAAATACCTCTGTATGTCTTTTTAAATTTATATAATTTAATATAGTTAATCAATCTCACACAAAGTGCCGTTTTTTCTCCAAATATCAGCATGATTAAATGTGATATTGATTTTATACAACAGTTAATTAAATAAATATGAACAATATTAATTAAATATGAACAATATTAAAAACTTTAGGAGTTCTGTCCACGGCAGTCCTAAACGTACCAACACAATAAACACACTCAGCAAAAAATAGTCTAATTATCCCAATTTCATTTAATTTAATTATTTAATAGTCTAAAAATCCCAAAAAATAATGCGATATCATTTTAAAAAAATCATTTTTATCAACTTTTTTTTTATAAGTTTCAGTTAATCAATTTCACACGAAGGGCTGTTTACTTTTTTCTCCAAATTTCAGCATGATTAAAAATGTGATATTGATTTTATACAACAGTTAATTAAATAAATATGAAGAATATTAATTAAATATTTCTATTTACTCTATCCATGGCAGTCCTAAACGTACCAACGCAATAAACACACTCAGCAAAAAATAGTCTAATTATTTAATAGTCTAAAAATCCCCCAAAATAATGCGATATAAAAAAAATAAAAAAAATAAAAAAAAATGGATATGTCAAAAACATATATCACAGATTCAATGAACTATATACAAACAGATGTGAAATAATGTTTTGTCAATGTCGCACACCCCTATTTTGGTGACATTTTCTCACCCAGAATGCTAAATTGCAGGGGTCAAATATCAGGAAAGTTCAGCTTACAATGTTTGAGAATCCTTGTACTGTGGGGTTGTTGTTGATTTCCCTCATGGTATTTTCATATGGAATATAGTACATGCATCTTGTGCAATACATATATGATTGTGTGTGTGGCTTTAGGAGACTCTGTCCAGCTCTGCTCTAGTTTCTACCTCGGTGTCCTGCGGCCCAGAAGTGTGTGACCCGCTGGACGAGCAGGACAAGAACAACACCCAGACACCTCATTTTCTGCCGCATCTCCTCGCCCCTGGGGTTCTGGGTAAGTGGATCAGTCTTTAATCCAAATACCAAAATTAACACAAATTCTTGTACTAATACATCATTACAATCAAAATCATATCTGTTAACATTAGTCAGTGCACTGTGAAATAACATCAACAATTGTATTTTCATTAACTAACTATGGGAAATATGTTTTTACAGCATTTTTTAATCTTTGTTTATGTTAACTTTATTTATATAGCGCTTTATACAGTACAGATTGTTTCAAAGCAGCTTTCCAGTGATAACAGGAAAATTATGCATTTCGGCTGAAGTCAGTTCAGTGTTGATTTAGTTCCGTTGTAAAGAGCATTAAGTATCAAATTGGTTCCTTTCATCTATAAAGCAGTTCTGCAGAAAACAGTGATTTCATCATCCATCTCAGTTCAGTTCTCAAACAGAAGCGTTAGTGCAGTCAGATCAATAATACTGTTGAATATTAAAATCCCCCTGTTGTCCATAATTGTATCCCTTAAAACTCATGTTTGATCACCAAATTGACATTTTTTCCATGAAAATAAAATTCTTCATGGCTTAAAATATCTTGAATCTAACTCAACACCCTTGACTCATTTAGTATGCGCGGTTCTATGAATATGCAAATGAGCCCCGCCTCCACTCACTCACTCAGCTCAGAGATCCACTGGTTGACGATCACACGTTGATCTGATTGGTTACAAGGTCGTTTGTGACGTCAGAAACACCAGCGATTTCAAACCGTGTTTTTGAGACTGTCTTTGGTTCACTGCAGTTTTAAGCAGAAAACTTAAAGGGGGACTTTAATTGTCCCCAGCTAAGCAAGCCAAGGAACCCAAACTCCATCAGGTGACAGAATGGAGAAAAAACCCAGTTCGCCAACGAACGAACACGGTGTCGTTATGAATCAGGCTGCATCACAACTCAGAATTCAGATCAGAATCATTAGCATTCAGATATTTATCCAGTTCCTTTCACTTGAAGATGGATTCATCATGCTGGTTTGGAGCTGAAGCTGGTCATAGGGTCTGTGTGAAGGACCGGTCTGGTTCTTGTGTCTGTTGTGGTCGTGTCTAGATGCAGGTCCACATCTGATCTGGATACGGACCGGATCTGGCGGACTACGGTAACCTCGGGATAAGGATGAGACGGACAGGCTAACATCGTGTGTTATAGGAAGTGTTCCCGGTTGCGGCTGACCTAGTTTATGCAGCCTAACAATCATTTAACTGATTTGAATAGTAGAAATTGATAATGCTCTATGTGTATGTCAGGTTAAAGAGATGTGTTTTTAGTCTAGACTTAAACTGACAGAGTGTGTGTGCTTATCGAACAATGCTAGGAAGACTGTTCCAGAGTTATGGTGCTAAATAGGAAAAGGATCAATTGTTGATTTTGATATTCTAGGACTATAATGCGTTAAGAGCTCGCTCAAGTACAGGGGAGCTAAACCATTTAATGCTTTGTAAGTAATCAGCAATATTTTAAAATGTATACAATGTTTAATAGGGAGCCAATGCAGTGTCATACTATATTACATACATCTAGCAACAACCAGGAAGGAACCGTTTGGACCAGCTGGAGTTTGTTTATTAAGCGTGCAGGGCAGCCACCCAGTAGAGCATTACAATAATCTATAATTGAATCATTTATAATCTAATTTTTGTTGTTATATATATATATATATATATGTGTGTGTGTGTGTGTGTGTGAGAGAGAGAGAGAGTGTGTGTACATTTTCATTTTTACTTGTAGTTTATTTAGAGCTTCAATGAAACTGCACTTCAATTAAATTCATAATGAGAAATGTTGGCAACTAGTTAAAATAAAATAAGCGTTTTATTTTAGGGAGGCACCGAAACCGAAAATTCATGAAGTACTTTACCATAAATAAATAAATTAATCAAACTTATTTCAAAATATACGGTCAAATAATGAAAACTGAGTTGTACAAACATTTAAATTGCACATAAGGCAGTTTTTATATCAGCTTTTTTAATAACAGAATTGTTTCTACTGCAGTTGTTTGGTGAAATATAAACATTTAAACATCAATAAACTCTAATATCTTGTTTTCATGACAGATTTATTCATAAACAATGAAAACATCACTAACAGGTTGAGTAAAAATATAAATAAAATGTAATACAGTGCATATATTTAGGAAAATGCTCTTCTCTAGAGTTATTTTTTCTAGCTAACTAATGAGTTTATGGACATTGAACGCCTTTCTTCAGGTAAATGTAATGTTCAGCATACACGCTGTTTTATTGACGTCTTTCCCCAGTTCAAACACTGATTGAGACACGATTGATTTGAGGAAGTTGTTCTGAATCTGATGTTTATTTGCTGCTGTATCTAGTAGTAAAGAGGAAGAGATGATCGCTTCACGAGACGCTTGAACTGAGCAGCTGCAAAACATCATTATTGCTTCAAGTTAAAAGTCAAAGTTAAGACTTCATATTAAAAGTAACAAAGCTTATTGCGATTATTTGATGACAGACGCGCTACAAATGTTCAGTGAAGTTGTTTATGCATCGACAGAAAACAGCACAGGCTAAAAGATCTTAGATTTAGGAAACCATATCATTACCAATTAAAATCAAGTAATTAATATTGTCGTGTTAAAATGTTTAAGTGTTGTAGTTTATCCACGTTGTGTCACGATATAGACGCTGAACACAGTTGAAACGAGCCAATCAGAGAAGTGCTAATTAAACGTCTGCGTCACTCACTGATTTAGGCACTTCAAAACTTAAAAATAGCTGTTTTGGTATTCAAGTATCGATGCATCACTATTTTATTCTATTTCAGTTTATGTTTATTGTATTTCAAGCAATGAAAATGTTTTTAAAGGTTTTAGTTTTAGTTAATGATAATTACCCCGGTACATAGAAATGAAAAAGCAAATGTCCGTTACAGTTTACAGTGTGATCGCTTGTTGAGAGAAATTTTTACTGCTTTTTTTTTCTTAGCTGAATATAGAATAACAAAATTAGTGATGGACTGAAATATTGTCAAAGCCATTTAATCCACATATGATAATTTTGAGATTATCAACATTAGTCGACAATCATGTTTGCTTCCGCTACTGTCCGTTCCAGTAATGCATATTGTCCGTTTTTAAAATATTAGTATAAAATAATTAATTTTGGCTATTTGCGAATGTATAATTTTTAGGGCTGTCAAATGATTAATCGTGATTAATCACATCCAAAAATAAAAGTTTTTTTTACATAATATATGTGGGTGCACTGTGTATAATTATTTTATATATATAAATACACACACATGCTTGTATATATTTAAGAAATATTTTCATGTATATACTGTATATAGATTTATATATAATTTATATTATATATAAATATAAATATTTTATATATAAATAATATTTTTTTCTTAAATATACATGCATGTGTGTGTATTTATATATATATATATACAAAATATTTTTATACACAGTGCACCCACATATATTATGTAAAAAAAACTTTTATTTTGGATGTGATTAATCATTTGACAGCCCTAATAATTTTGAATAATAAATAACTCATTACATGCAAAGTGAGATATTTCAAGCCTTTATTTGTTATAATTGTGATGATTATGGCTTACAGATATGAAAACCTTTTCACAATATTCTAATTTTGAATTTGGGGTTTTCATAAGCTGTAATCCATAATCATCAAAATTATAACAAATTAAGGCTTGAAATATCTCACTTTGCATGTAATGAGTCTGTATAATATATTAGTTTCACCTTTTAAGTTGAATTACTGAAATAAATGAACTTTTGCACCATATTCTAATTTTTCGAGTTTCACCTGTATCTGATGTTGATGAGCAAAACTGTTTTTAGAAGAACAAAATTTAGAAGATCTCATTGCCTTTCCTAAGAAAAGTTACTCTCTCACTGATGATGGTTATGATGATGATGCTTGAGGTTTTCTTCATGCTGTTTTTGTGTTTTTAATCCTCATTTAATGTACCATACATTGCCCTCTAACAATGAATGGGGAAAAACATCAAAACATCTTATTTTTTCTGCGTATATAAATAGGGCCCTATAATTTCTGCGGCTCGGAAAACGCGTCACAAAAATGTAATTTAATGTATAACATGGAATTTGGCCAATTTTGGATGAATAAGTCAGAAGTAGGGCTGTACACTTTGATCACGTGACAATATGGACTCGTTACTGTGAATACTAAAGTACAAAAAGTCTATTTAAATATAAAATCTGCATGTTTTGTGTGTCTGTGTGAATGAAGAGCCCGCCCTATTATTGTTTATATTATTTATATAAAAAAAAAAAATTAAGTTGTTATAGTTTTATGAATTCAGTTGATTCGTTTTTTCAATTATTATATTTGTTTGAAATTTAATTAAACCATTAAAATAAAATTTTGAATTTTTTTTAGTGTAATTTAGGAAAAATAAAACATAATTTTAGAGGGGGAAAAAATGTCATTACTTTTTTTTCTTTCTTTTTTTTTCTTTTTTTTTTTTAAAACTTTTAATAAATGAAGTATCATGATTTCAATTAATTAGACATGCTTTTTGATTACTAACATTTAATTTAACCATTAAATCTGAGTCCAGAAAAATTGAAATTAATTATGTGTTTGAAATTTAATTAAACCATTAAAATAAAATTTAGAAAAATGTTTTAGTGGAATTTAGGAAAAATATACCGTAAGGGGAAAAAAATGTCATAACTTTAAAAATGTATATATTTTTTTACTTTTAATAAATTAAGTATCATGATTTAAATGAATCAGACATGCTTTTTGATTACTAACATTTAATTTAACCTTTAAATCTGAGTCCATAAAAATTCAAACGGAATCCAGTAAAAAGCGGAATGGAATAAACTGATGTGATGAGGCTCTATAAACACAGTGTATCGTGACATGATGTTTGGTGATGTACTGATGAACGAATGCTTGTCGTCTTGAAATTCTCGGTTTGCTTCAGCTAAGATCTTCACAGAGTCAGAACGCATGTGTGTTTGAGCTGCTAATGATGGTGTTTCTCTTGCTCTCAGGCGACCTCACAGCTCTGGGAAACATCAACAGTCTTCATAGTTTACTGGGAGCAGGACCTCTGTTGCTTCCACAGGGCCCGTCTCTGAACCAAACGCCCCTCAACCCGCTCACCTGCCTACAGGTACACACACACACACACACAGGGCCCGTCTCTGAACCAAACGCCCCTCAACCCGCTCACCTGCCTACAGGTACACACACACACACACACACACACACACACACACAGGCCCGTCTCTGAACCAAACGCCCCTCAACCCGCTCACCTGCCTACAGGTACACACACACACACACACACTGCTAGTCTCTGAACCAATCGCCCCTCAACCCGCTCACCTGCCTACAGGTACACACACACACACACACACTCACACACACACACACAGGGCCCGTCTCTGAACCAAACGCCCCTCAACCCGCTCACCTGCCTACAGGTACACACACACACACACACACTGCTAGTCTCTGAACCAATCGCCCCTCAACCCGCTCACCTGCCTACAGGTAAACACACACACACACACACACACACACACTGCTAGTCTCTGAACCAAACGCCCCTCAACCCGCTCACCTGCCTACAGGTACACACACACACACACACACTGCTAGTCTCTGAACCAATCGCCCCTCAACCCGCTCACCTGCCTACAGGTACATACACACACACACACACAGGGCCCGTCTCTGAACCAAACGCCCCTCAACCCGCTCACCTGCCTACAGGTACACACACACACACACACACTGCTAGTCTCTGAACCAATCGCCCCTCAACCCGCTCACCTGCCTACAGGTACACACACACACACACAGGGCCCGTCTCTGAACCAAACGCCCCTCAACCCGCTCACCTGCCTACAGGTACACACACACACACACACTGCTAGTCTCTGAACCAAACGCCCCTCAACCCGCTCACCTGCCTACAGGTACACACACACACACACAGGCCCGTCTCTGAACCAAACGCCCCTCAACCCGCTCACCTGCCTACAGGTACACACACACACACACACTGCTAGTCTCTGAACCAAACGCCCCTCAACCCGCTCACCTGCCTACAGGTACACACACACACACACTGCTAGTCTCTGAACCAAACGCCCCTCAACCCGCTCACCTGCCTACAGGTACACACACACACACACTGCTAGTCTCTGAACCAAACGCCCCTCAACCCGCTCACCTGCCTACAGGTACACACACACACACACAGGGCCCGTCTCTGAACCAAACGCCCCTCAACCCGCTCACCTGCCTACAGGTACACACACACACACACAGGGCCCGTCTCTGAACCAAACGCCCCTCAACCCGCTCACCTGCCTACAGGTACACACACACACACACTGCTAGTCTCTGAACCAAACGCCCCTCAACCCGCTCACCTGCCTACAGGTAAACACACACACACACACACACACACACAGGCCCGTCTCTGAACCAAACGCCCCTAAACCCGCTCACCTGCCTACAGGTACACACACACACACACAGGCCCGTCTCTGAACCAAACGCCCCTCAACCCGCTCACCTGCCTACAGGTACACACACACACACACAGGGCCCGTCTCTGAACCAAACGCCCCTCAACCCGCTCACCTGCCTACAGGTACACACACACACACACTGCTAGTCTCTGAACCAAACGCCCCTCAACCCGCTCACCTGCCTACAGGTAAACACACACACACACACACACACACACACACACAGGCCCGTCTCTGAACCAAACGCCCCTAAACCCGCTCACCTGCCTACAGGTACACACACACACACACACACACACACACTGCTAGTCTCTGAACCAATCGCCCCTCAACCCGCTCACCTGCCTACAGGTACACACACACACACACACACACACACTGCTAGTCTCTGAACCAATCGCCCCTCAACCCGCTCACCTGCCTACAGGTACACACACACACACACACACACTGCTAGTCTCTGAACCAATCGCCCCTCAACCTGCTCACCTGCCTACAGGTAAACACACACACACACACTGCTAGTCTCTGAACCAATCGCCCCTCAACCCGCTCACCTGCCTACAGGTAAACACACACACACACACACACACTGCTAGTCTCTGAACCAAACGCCCCTCAACCCGCTCACCTGCCTACAGGTACACACACACACACACACACACTGCTAGTCTCTGAACCAATCGCCCCTCAACCCGCTCACCTGCCTACAGGTAAACACACACACACACACACACTGCTAGTCTCTGAACCAAACGCCCCTTCAAATTTCTTTCTTTAATATGGGCAAAATATTAATAAAAGAAAAGCCGCATGTGTTTATTGATGTGTTCTCGCTCTCAGCTGACGATGACCCCGGCGCTCATGGGAGAGAAGCCAGTGAGTCTCCACCACACGCCGCCTCCGTCACAAGACGAGCTTCCAGCGGCTCAGATATCCCAGAATGCCTTGCTCCACACCCCCGGTCAGCAGAGAGAGGGTTCTGGTTCTGGGCTGTTCGACCCGTACGGTTCCTTCATGGACACCATCTACACCTCGTTCCTGCAGGTCAGCGAGCGCGACTCGGACCCCACGGCGCTGTCGTACCCGGAGCTGCCGCTGGCCCTCAGTCCCCGCCGGGCCTGTTCGGTCCACAACCCGGATCTGACCCGCCTCGGCATGGACTCGGCCCAGTCTCCGGCCCGCGGCACGCCGAAGCTCAGCGAGGAGCCCTCCACGGCGCCGCCCTGCAGGCCGTCGGGGGCCGACGCTCTGTCCGACATCATGGAGGAGGCCAAGACCGACGGGTCCACGGTGTGTTACAGCAACGGGATCGGGTCGGGAACGGACGGAAGAGGAGACCGGGACGAGGAGGAGGAGGCAGACGAGGATGATGAGGAGGGACGAAGAACGCAGGGCTGTTTGAGTCCGCCCGTCGATGACATCAGCAGCAGAGAGGCGGAGCAAGTGAGGGTGAGCCTGGTTTTGTTATTTGTGCTATTATAGTGTTTGTTCATATTTTTTTTATTTCATTTTTTTATAAAAATTTTGGCTTGTTTGTCATTTTGTTATGTGCTTTTGTCATTTTTTGATACGTTTTTTTTTTCTTCACATTTTTTTATTTCAGTTAAAGTAATTTTTCAAATTAAATAAAAATTTTGGTTGTTTTTCGTGTTATACTATGCTTTATTTCTACAACTGAAAGGTTAAACACTTCTAATAGTGTAAGATTGTTATGAAATGTTGCAGACTGCTTCAATGCCTTCTTTTATTCATAGCAGTGACTGATATTAATTTCGCTGGTGTTGTTTGACAGACTGAAGACTTGCACACAGGAGCCAGAAGGGGGCGCAAGAGGAAGCAGACGTGAGTGCTTCTGGAGCTCGGCATGTTCCTTCACTTGTGTTGCTGTGTGTGTGTGTGTTTACTCTCTCCTCTTCCTCTTCCTCTTCCTCAGACTGCAGAGGAGTCCAGACCTGCCGGGCGGCATCGACAGCATCATCGAGGAGCCCGCCGCCACGGTGAGACACACACACACACACACACACACACACACACGACACAAGCATCTTACACTGTTTGACTGCATTAATCAGTGTCTCAAGTCTTAAAAAATATTAAATTCAGTTGTATGAAGTTTAAATTTAAGAGGGTTTTATATTTCAAAAGTTCTTAAATTTAAGAAGTTTGTATATTTCAAGAGTTTTTTTAAATTAAGAAGTTTTTATATTTCAAGAGTTCTTAAATTTAAGAGGGTTTTATATTTCAAGAGTTCTTAAATTTAAGAGGGTTTTATATTTCAAGAGTTTTTTTAAATTAAGAAGTTTTTATATTTCAAGAGTTCTTAAATTTAAGAGGGTTTTATATTTCAAGAGTTTTTTTAATTTAAGAAGTTTTTATATTTCAAGAGTTTCTTAAATTTAAGAAGTTTTTATATTTCAAGAGTTCTTAAATTTAAGAGATTTTTATATTTCAAGAGTTTTTTAAATTTAAGAAGTTTTTATATTTCAAGAGTTCTTAAATTTAAGAAGTTTTTATATTTCAAGAGTTTTTTTTTATTTAAGAAGTTTTTATATTTCAAGAGATTTTTAAATTTAAGAGGGTTTTATATTTCAAGAGTTTTTTAAATTTAAAAAGTTTATATTTCAAGAGTTTTTTAAATTTAAGAGGTTTTTATATTTCAAGAGTTCTTAAATTTAAGAGGGTTTTATATTTCAAGAGTTTTTTAAATTTAAGAGGGTTTTATATTTCAAGTTTTTTTAAATGTAAGAAGTTTTTATATTTCAAGAGTTTTTAAATTTTAGAGGTATTTATATTTCAAGAGTTCTTAAATTTAGGAGGGTTTTATATTTCAAGAGTTTTTAAATTTAAGAAGTTTTTATATTTCAAGAGTTTTTAAATTTAAGAAGTTTTTATATTTCAAGAGTTTCTTAAATTTAAGAGGGTTTTATATTTCAAGAGTTTTTAAATTTAAGACGTTTTTATATTTCAAGAGTTTTTAAATTTAAGAAGTTTTTATATTTCAAGAGTTTCTTAAATTTAAGAGGGTTTTATATTTCAAGAGTTTTTTAAATTTAAGAGGGTTTTATATTTCAAGAGTTTTTTAAATTTAAGAAGTTTTTATATTTCAAGAGTTTTTTTAAATTTAAGAGGGTTTTATATTTCAAGAGTTTTTTAAATTTAAGAGGGTTTTATATTTCAAGAGTTTTTTAAATTTAAGAAGTTTTTATATTTCAAGAGTTTTTTTAAATTTAAGAGGGTTTTATATTTCAAGAGTTTTTTAAATTTAAGAGGTTTTTATATTTCAAGTTTTTTTAAATTTAAGAAGTTTTTATATTTCAAGAGTTTTTAAATTTTAGAGGTATTTATATTTCAAGAGTTCTTAAATTTAGGAGGGTTTTATATTTCAAGAGTTTTTAAATTTAAGAAGTTTTTATATTTCAAGAGTTTTTAAATTTAAGAAGTTTTTATATTTCAAGAGTTTCTTAAATTTAAGAGGGTTTTATATTTCAAGAGTTCTTAAATTTAAGAGGGTTTTATATTTCAAGAGTTTTTTAAATTTAAGAGGGTTTTATATTTCAAGAGTTTTTTTTAATTTAAGAGGGTTTTATATTTCAAGAGTTTTTTTTAATTTAAGAAGTTTTTATATTTCAAGAGTTTTTTAAATTTAAGAGGGTTTTATATTTCAAGAGTTTTTTAAATTTAAGAAGTTTTTATATTTCAAGAGTTTTTTCAATTTAAGAGGGTTTTATATTTCAAGAGTTTTTTAAATTTAAGAAGTTTTTATATTTCAAGAGTTTTTAAATTTTAGAGGTATTTATATTTCAAGAGTTCTTAAATTTAAGAAGTTTTTATATTTCAAGAGTTCTTAAATTTAGGAGGGTTTTATATTTCAAGAGTTTTTAAATTTAAGAAGTTTTTATATTTCAAGAGTTTTTAAATTTAAGAAGTTTTTATATTTCAAGAGTTTGTTTAAATTTAAGACGTTTTTATTAGTGCTATCAAACGATTAAAATATTTAATGGCATTAATGTCAGAAAAATGTGCGATTAATCGTGAGTTAACTATCTATTCTAAATGTCTCTTGATTTCTTTTTGTCCCATTATTTTTTCTCATTTTAATGCTCTTATCAACATGGAAAAGTGGATCGGCTTGCTTTGTGCAAATGTTTTTTATTTAAAACAACATTGGCATATACTGTGTTCAATTTCACACTAACATTCTCACTTGGAGCAAATAATCTCTCACACAATGCAACACTGTCCATCAATAAAAGGGTGAAAGAAATACTGACAAAGTCCTGATATTGACGAGGGGGCGGAGGATTCGCATCAGCTGTGTGTGTGTGTGTGTGTGTGTGCTTGGCCATCATCAAGTGGTGTTTCAGACTGGACGTGCTGCGATGATGATAGCTCAGTTCACTACGACAAAACACACAGATCACTTTGGTCTCGTCAATGGAACCATTTGGCAACTTTTTAAAAATAAACTTTCCATTCAGAATCTTATTGGCATCCATTTCTGCATCTCGCGCTCGTCATCCACTCAAAACGTAACGTTAACCAAGTACTATTTGGCCCAAACAAGTGTGTGCGGCGTCGTGCCTGTTGTTTTGTGTCTTGTTTTTGTTGTCTAGCTAGATCCGCTTGAAATGGCACAAAGCCATTGAAATGAATGGGTCTCATAGCGCAGCGTCCTGTTGCAAAAGCATGTGAAAAAACTACAAAGTTTGCTAGGCCAAAAAGACCATTAATCGCGCGATAAAAAAATTGACGCCGTTAAAATGGGTTTGCGTTAACGCCGTTAATAACGCGTTTAACTGACAGCCCTAGTTTTTATATTTCAAGAGTTTTTTAAATTTAAGAGGCTTTTACATTTCAAGAGTTTTTTTTTTATTTAAGACGTTTTTAAATGTCAAGAATTCCTAAACTTGTGGTTTTAAAATTTCGAGTTCTTAAACTTAAGGGGTTTTTATATTCTATCGTGTCTTTAAATTTGAGAGGTTTTTAAATTCCAAGGGACCTTTAGAATTCTGAAATTTAAGAATTTTTTTAATTTAAAAACTTAAATTTAATACGTTTTTAAATGTTTATTTCTTAAAGGAGCTGTATGTAAGATTGTGGCCAAAACTAGTACTGCAATCACTGTCAAATTACTGTAGAGTGGTGTATCCCCTCCCCCTCCTCCCTGACTCGAGGTTGCCAGATCGGCTGCAGGATCCAGCAGGAACGTGACGAGCTGCAGCTGTGGTAACTAGAGCAGAGCTGGCAACCCGGATGCCGCAACACTACTGACTTCGTGATTGGTAGATAGGTGGAGGGTGGAGCATCAGACCAAAACACAACATGACAACATCAACATCAGTTGAGGGCTGCAACTGCACTTTTTAAATGACAATATCCTGGCCAGACTACTGTTGTCAGTGATATAAGTATTTGAAATGTACATGATTTCTTAATGTCTAGTGACATTTCAGGGCCATTTCATGATTAATTGAAATAAATTTCTTACATACAGCTCCTTCAATTAAAGAGGTTTTTAAATATCAAGATGTCTTTAAATTTAAGAGGTTTTTACATTTCAAGAGGTCTTAAGTTTGAGAAAGGAAAAGCAGGACTGTCCACATGGCGTAATTATGACGGTCAAGAACGCATTAAAGCGAAGTCGTGTGTGTTGTGTTGCAGATCCCGTCGTCGAGGCCGGCCCGCTCCACCAGAGGGAAGAGACGCCGCGTGGTCCGATAGATCCGACTGTACGGTACCGCCAACACCAGCACTGTTGCCACGGCAACGCCATCACAGCGTTCGACTGAGCCGCACTGTGAAGAAGAGTCTCCCGTGATCTCGCTCCTCCGTCACGTGTGTGTGTGTGTGTGTGTGTGTGTGTGTGTGTGTTCGTCCAACGACTTCTGTTACCATTCTCGACCATTGTTACATGAACACGTTCTTTTACCATGAGAGGGGTTTTACTAATGAGAACTATTGTTAAATTGTCGCACGAATGCATCAGTTTAGGAATAGCTGTTTGTTTACCAGTTCTTTATAATTATTATTTTTCAAAATGTGCTTCTTTTTGATGATTGTGATTGACAGCTCTGCCTGAACATTCACTCCCATCAGTCTTTAGATGCACACGAGTCCATGTTATCGTCGTTGTCGTCATCAACAAATTTGTTGAATTTGACAGCTTGTGTTCCAGAGCCGGAAAACCCTGTCTCTGGGAATCTTTCCAATCGACGGATCATTGCAACACAAATGTCATTTTACCCATCATGCACCTCATGAACCGTTTTTAGCATCAAATGCATTCAGCAGTTTTGTCACACCGCAAAAAAAAAAATCTTATTTGGGAATTTTATCTTGTTTTCCAATACAAATATCTAAACATTCTCAGATCAAGATGCATATACTGGAAAAGCTAAATGTATTACGGTATATCAATTAAATATTTCATATATTGAGAGAAACATTTATCAAAATGAAGCATTTACTATACAGGTGAAACTAGAAAAATTAGAATATGGTGCAAAAGTTCATTTATTTCAGTAATTCAACTTAAAAGGTGAAACTAATATATTATAGAGACTCATTACATGCAAAGTGAGATATTTCAAGCCTTTATTTGTTATAATTGTGATGATTATGGATTACAGCTTATGAAAACCCCAAATTCAAAATTAGAATATTGTGAAAGGTTTTCATAAGCTGTAAGCCATAATCATCACAATTATAACAAGGCTTGAAATATCTCACTTTGCATGTAATGAGTCTCTATAATATATTAGTTTCACCTTTTAAGTTGAATTACTGAAATAAATGAACTTTTGCACCATATTCTAATTTTTCGAGTTTCTCCTGTACTGTATGCATTGTGAAGTGCAAATAAACATGACATTTGAACATATTTGGCAAAAACTCACATGATTTTGATACATTTTTCAGTAAATAAGACTTGAGTCTTTTTGCACCTTCAGTAAATGTACCTTGATTTAAAAATGTTTAGAAAAACAAGACAGAAATACTGAAAAACATAATTTTTCTGCAGTGTTTTATGCGGCCCTGCAGAGACACTGAAGCCGAGAAACACCCAGTTTCACTCATAACTCAAAACGCTTGTCTTTGCAGGGCCGTATATATAAATATCTATATTTTATAAGTGTGTGTGTGTTCCAGGAGGGAGTGAGTCTAGTGTATTTGTAGGTTTGTAGGGGCTTTAGTCGTGGATGGTGTCGCACAGGACTGTGTTTCCCAGAGCTCATCAACACAGGCACAAGATTATTACTGAATATTTAAAATAATGATTTAATAATGTGGCTGATTATGCAATTTTACTATTGAATTTATGTATATATGTACAGTTTTAGTATTTTATTTTGTACACCTTTTTTTAGGAAAAAATGATCAATTTGTAAAATATTTCTCCCGCAGAGAAACTTTCCTTTCTCATATTCATGTTTGATTTGTAAAGAAAATACTTTGAGAATTGTGAACAAGTAGCATTTCCTTTTTTTTTTTTTTTTATTGGGAGTTATTTTTATTTTTATTTAACAAATTAAAAGGTTTTAAATGATGAAATGTTCTCTTCTGATTATTTCTTGTCCGATAGAGTTTCCGAGTTGGAAATTGGACGCTCTGAGATGAAACAGATTATTTTGATTCTCCAGTTTCCGAGTTGGGTGAGCCAAACACTTTAAACATGGCGGATAGGAGAACGGTTGTTGATGTGACTACTATTGTTTATTATTTTCCACAACAGCTAAACATCACAACTCACAATAAATAGGCATGTAATGCTGATCCCGTCACATGATATCAGAATTATCGTACGAGTTTTCTACATAGAAAATTCCTAGTCGGAAATTTGAGTTTCCTAGTTAGAAATTCCTAGTCGGAAATTGAAGTTTCCTAGTTAGAAATTCCTAGTCAGAAATTGGAGTTTCCTAGTTGGAAATTGGAGTTTCCTAAATGGTAATTCCTAGTCGGAAATTGGACTTTCCTAGTTGGAAATTGGACTTTCCTAGTTGGTAATTCCTAGTTAGAAATTCCTAGTCAGAAATGGGAGTTTCCTAGTTGGAAATTGTAGTTTCCTAGTTGGTAATTCCTAGTTATAAATTCCTACTCGGAAATTGGAGTTTCCTAGTTATAAATTCCTAGTAGGAAATTTGAGTTTCCTAGTTAGAAATTCCTAGTCGGTAATTCCTAGTTAGAAATTCCTAGTCAGAAATTGGAGTTTCCTAGTTAGAAATTCCTAGTCGGTAATTCCTAGTTAGAAATTCCTAGTCAGAAATTGGAGTTTCCTAGTTAGAAATTCCTAGTCGGAAATTGGAGTTTCCTAGTTGGTAATTCCTAGTTAGAAATTCCTAGTCAGAAATTGGAGTTTCCTAGTTGGTAATTCCTAGTTAGAAATTCCTAGTCGGAAATTGGAGTTTCCTAGTCAGAAATTCCTAGTCGGTAATTCCTAGTTAGAAATTCCTAGTCAGAAATTGGAGTTTCCTAGTTGGTAATTCCTAGTTAGAAATTCCTAGTCGGAAATTTGAGTTTCCTAGTTAGGAATTTCCAACCAGGCAACTCCAATTTCCGACTAGGAATTTCTAACTAGGAATTGCCAAGTCAGAAATTTGAGTTTCCTAGTTGGTAATTCCTAGTTAGAAATTCCTAGTCGGAAATTGGAGTTGTCTGGTTGGAAATTCCTAAGTCAGAAATTTGAGTTTCCTAGTTGGTAATTCTAAGTCGGAAATTGGACATCCTCCCAAGTGCAGCATCCTAATATACAGTAGTGAACATTTTGAAGTGGATCAAAAAAGTTCATCAAAGATAAGAACGGTATTGTACAAAATCCATGTATAACTTTGATGAAAGGTTTTGATCCACTTCAAATGTTCACGACTGTATTTACTACTGGGAAACTGAGATAATTTTCATACCCCAGTTTCTGAGTTGGGCGAGCCATAAACTTTATCTATTGTTTATTAGTGTTTCCACAACAGCACAACTCACAATAAACAGGCATGTAATGCTGCCTTCACATAATTATCGGAAATACAAGTTTCCAAGTTAGAAATTCCTAGTCGGAAATTAGAGTTTCCGCCAAACTCAGAAACTGGGGTGTGAAAATTATCTCAGTAATAAATATTTTGAGAGGAGAAAATATGCGAGAGGCCATTTATGTCCTATTTCTGACTAGGAATCTCACATATTTTCTCAAGTACGGCCTCTCAAAATATTTATTACAATGTAATAAATTTATTACAAGTAATGCTGCCTTCACATGATATCATAATTATCGTAAATACGAGTTTCCTAGTCGGAAATTTCTAGTCGAAAAGTTGGAAATTGCCCTCTCAAGTCATTAACTACTGGGAATATCAGATTATTTGGATCCTCCAGTTTTTTTGAGTGGGACATAAATGTTAAACATGGCGGATGGGCGAATGATGTGATTACTATTGTTTATTAGCTTTTCCACAACAGCTACATTACCTTGTCTTGTTAAAACATGCGTATAAATTTCATATTGTGTTTTATACTCAACACAAATAGCATGTATTTGACCGAAATATAGGTTTTGGAGAAAAAAAACTCTTGACATGAACTAAGCTGGAGAACAAACTAATGTCCATATGAAAATAATAATGAATTAAAGCAATGCATATCACTTGAGTGAAAGGATTAAATCCGTAAATATCAGGAAAATCGATTTCTAACCCTGGAAAAGTTCTGCAAAACATTTTTACAGACACTTTATACACGCGTGAACATTCAACAACAACAAAAACAAGAGCATGACACGGATTTCTGGAAGCATTTTATTATCCAGAGATGCCTTTGAAATTCTATATTGGAAAATGATCATAATTTGTGGACTGTGATCCACACATTAATACAATAACGGTTACAAGCGATCTCTCATGAGAACAAGAGTAAGTACATATAAGCCTGTATTTACACACAGCATCTGCTCACTTCCGAAACAAAGTCCACGTCGATCATGATGGAGAAGCGCTTCAGATCCTCACACACACAGGCAGGTGTGTGTTTGTGTGCATGACTTACAGTATCTGACAGATAGAGCGTCTCAGGACGAAAGGTGAAGCTTTGTAGTGTGAAACTTTGCGGAAAAACAAAATGGCGACGTGAGAAACAAAGATTCTAACGTGAGGAACGTCGAACGGCCTCTTCCGGCATTCCCTCTCCTCACGCTTTTATTTGGAGAGTTTCTTCATCCTCTGGTCCAGTGCGGAGAAGTTCTCCTCCACCGACACCAGGTTCTCCTTCATGGTTTGCTGGACCTGAGAAAATTACTCAGATATCATTTTTCATATTGTTTTACTAGTGTGTGCCGGACACTATAGTTCATTTATGTAAGTGAGGAGAGCAAAATAAAGTAAACTGTGACATATTATACCCAATAATTCTTCATACTGTGACATTATACAAATTTGGCACCAAAAATGGTTCCGACACTTTGAGCTGATCATGTTTTCTTCAGTGTGTTTTCTGTAATTGACCTATGGCTAAGCCACGCCCCCTAACGCGATGAGCCAATCACAGTGCACATAGCTGACCCAATACACTCGGACATTGAAATGCATTGCAGTTAGTCAGTTTTCATTCATTTTTATATGGTTTTTCTTGTCATTTTAAGTTTAAAACGGTCAAACGGTGTGCTATTTTGTTGCACTAGGTATCCCGAGAGGCTGGGCGACGGTGTGTATTTTTGACCCTTTCCCAAACATCTCAACCGAGATAAGTGTCTGCTCTGGATTAAGTTATGTAGACCACAACACCAACTAAACGTGGATAAATTAAACAAGGATGTCTACATCTGTTCTTTAAGTCAACAACGTATTTGAACGTTATCTTTAACATCTCTAAAGTAACGTTAGGCTAACATTAGAAAACGTTAACGTTAGCTGCGTTGTACATTATGTCACTTAGCTTCATTAACGTGTCTGTAAATAACCGAGATAACAAATGTCACCAAATGTTGACTGTGTGTCCGAGTGAGTGGAGGGGGCGTGGCTTAGCCATAGGTGAAATGGTTGAGCTAAACTGGTATTATCTAATTGTGTCGTTAAATTTAACAGCTGACAGATATTCAACATAATTCATGTGTGAGAGTCTAACAGAAGGACGGACAAAACCAGTCAAATATCAACTGAGTTCTGCTCATATTTTATTACCATTTTCTAAACTGTGTGAGATAATGTGAGAAATGTTGAAGGTGTGTGAATAATGCTGGTTTGAGTGTAAACACGAACGGCACCTGCGTCAGGAGAGTGGTGTTGTCCTTCAGAGAGTTGTTGATCATCTGCTGTGTCGTGTCCAGATGGGTCAACAGCTGGCCAAACTGCATCGCTGCAATACCACAGAAACAAACAATAAGAGGTCGGAGAACAACACAATACACACATGAACAGTTCCTGTAAATTTGAGACATCTCCATCATAAAGTAATTACTGAAATTAATCTCATGAAACTGTAGAAACGTCTATGTCAGATCATCTTAAAACAATCTGCAGTTATTCTAATAATAATAATAATTTATAATAAAATATATCAATTCAATTTTTGGATGGAAGATTATTAATAATAATAACAACAATTTTATTATTAGTAGTACTATTATTTTGGGGGTTAATAATACAAATTATATATATATATATATATATGCTATCAAACGATTAAAATATTTAATTGCGATTAATCGCATTAATGTCGTAGTTAACTCGCGATTAATCGCACATTTTTATCTATTCTAAATGTCTCTTGATTTCTTTTTGTCCCGTTATTTTTTCTCATTTTAATGCTCTTAACATGGAAAAGTGGATCGGCTTGCTTTGTGCAAATGTTTTTTATTGAAAACAACATTGGCATATACTGTTCAATTTCACACTAACATTCTCACTTGGAGCAAATAATCTCTCACACAATGCAACACTGTCCATCAATAAAAGGGTGAAAGAAATACTGACGAGGTCCTGATATTGACAAGGGGGCGGAGAATTCGCATCAGCTGTGTGTGTGTGTGTGTGTGTGTGTGTGTGTGTGTGTGTGTGTGTGTGCTTGGCCATCATCAAGTGGTGTTTCAGACTGGACGTGCTGTGATGATGATAGCTCAGTTCACTACGACAAAACACACAGATCACTTTGGTCTCGTCAATGGAACCGTTTGGCAACTTTTTAAAAGTAAACTTTCCATTCAGAATCTTATTTCCATTTCGGCGTCTCGCGCTCGACATCCACTCAAAACGTAACGTTAACCTAGTACTATTTGGCCCAAACAAGTGTGTGCGGCGTCGTGCCTGTTGTTTTGTTTCTTGTTTTTGTTGTCTAGCTAGATCCGCTTGAAATGGCACAAAGCCATTGAAATGAATGGGTCTCATAGCGCAGCGTCCTGTTGCAAAAGCATGTGAAAAAAACTACAAAGTTTGCTAGGCCAAAAAGACCGTTAATCGCGCGATAAAAAAATTGACGCCGTTAAAATGGGTTTGCGTTAACGCCGTTAATAACGCGTTTAACTGACAGCCCTAATATATATATATATATATATATATATTTTTTTTTATTATTATTATTATATTTTGCAGAAAGCAATAGAGATGAAAGAGATGATGAAGTGAAAGAATACCCTGTTCATGCAGTTCTTTGACAGCCGTCAGTCTCTGCACGACCTGCGGGAGGGACGTGGCCATCGCATCCCACTTCTGAACCACATCATACAGCTGAGACACCTGAAACACACGACACCTGGTGATGATGATGTCATCAGTACACGACACCAGGTCATACTCAAGCGCAAGGTGGTAATCCACCAGCCGGAAACTGAAGCATCATCGTTTGGGGGCCGCCATTGTAGCTGGCTATCACCTGCTGTTAGCATCCCATTGACTCCCATTCATTTTAGCGTCACTTTGACAGCGAATAACTTTACATCTGAGGCGTCCAAAGACTCCATTTTTCCATTATTTATTTCTAAAGAAACAGGACAATGTATAAAAGGCTCCATTACTTTGTATCTTACGTTATGGCCCCGTAGAAGCCGTTTTTGTAAAAATAGGCTAACGATTGCGTCATAACCACGGGACGCTCTGTCGCACAGTAGAGAAATTACCGTATAGACAGGAGGAGAAGCTCGCGGGCAATCTTTCACTGTCTATGAGGCAATCGGGGGGGCATGGAGGCATAAAGTCAAGGCAGAAGCCCATAGATAGAGTTCATAAAAGCAATGGGACAACATATTTCAACAACATATTTGTTTCAGATTTCAATTCAGATTTGTCTCGGCACAGCTACTAGAAGGTCAGAACGGCTGCTCACGTCACATCTCCGTCGTCGAGCTCAGTGTGAGTCTGCGCAGTGCGCTTGGCTATCAGGAAGTGAGTGCTTCTAATGGGCTTCAACTGTCGCCGTTGAAATCTATGGGGTCGCTGTGTCCATTTCTTTTACTGTATATGCTCAAGCGTGCCGCACAAGCCCTGAAAAGTGAAGCCAGAGCATCTCAAGCGCGCCCCCCGGTGGCTGGTCCTAGTATAGCTCATAAACCCCACCTCCCCGTGTTATTCAACAGGACACCAACTAAACTATTAAATTACACTTCAAATATCGTTTTTCCAAAGGTGGTTTCGGTCATTTGCTGTCGTTTTTATCACGCTGATGTAAGTTCAAGTGTCTGTTTTTAAAATAAGTTTGTTTTTAGTTAGTTACGTGATGCTATAAAAACGGTGGTGTAACGTAATGATTGACAGCTGTGATTGACAGGTTCTCTGTCACTGAAGCACCAACTGACTTTTTTCGGCATCTTCGGAGGACTGAGGAGATTGTATTTACTTTATTTTAACAAGCCTCTTGTCGTACTGCAATCAACAGACATCAAATTTGGAGCAGAACGGATCAGACATAGGCCACTTAAAAAAGTGCTGGGAGAGTGCATTCTGGGAGAGTGACTCGTGAGGGCAGGGCGTTGATTTGGCAGCTTTACTTCCTGCTCGCTACTGCGCAGGTCTGGTCCCGAGATGTCACCGCCATATCGGGACACTGGCGGCTTCACTTCTCACCAATGGAAGAGAGCGAAGGGGCGTCGACCATCTTTTTTTACAGTCTATAGTCATAGTACATCTGATGATGATGTCATTAGTCCAGTCATGTGGGACGCACCTTATTCTGGGTCTCGGCATCCTCGATGGCCGCCTTGTGTTTGGCTATTTCATTCATCTTCCCCAGAACACTCTGAAGAAAAATCACACCGCAGTCAGTCTCCACAATAACAGCTCAGATACAGTCAGACCAAACATTATCCAGACACCGGATATCATTTTTGATATTTTTTTACTAGTGTGTGCAGTAGGCTTGCCGTGATAGACGGTGTCACCGGTTTTAAGCGCCATCACCGGTGACATCACTTTCCCACCGTGACACCGCGATGTCTTGACTTTTTTTAAAGGGATACTCCACTTTTTTTGGAAATAGGCTCATTTTACAACTCCCCCAGAGTTAAACTGTTGAGTTTTACCGTTTTTGAATCCATTCAGCCGATCTCCGGTTCTGGCGGTACCACTTTTAGCATAGCTTAGCATACATCATTGAAGTGGACAAGATCATTAGCATTTCTAAAAAAAAAATTACCAAAGAGTTTTGATATTTTTCCTATTTAAAACTTGACTCTTCTGTAGTTACATCGTGCACTAAGACCGACGGAAAATGTAAAGTTGCGATTTTCTAGGCTGATATGGCTAGGAACTATACTCTCATTCCTGCGTAATAATCAAGAAACTTCACTGCCGTACCATGAGTGCAGCAGGCGTAATGATATGACGCAGCGCCTGAAAATAGGCCACCTTCCGGCAACACAACGGAACTATTTTCAGGCGCTGGGTCATATCATTACGCCTGCTGCACTCATGGTACGGCTTGAAGTTTCTTGATTATTACGCAGGAATGAGAGTATAGTTCCTAGCCATATCAGCCTCGAAAATCGCAACTTTACATTTTCCGTCCGTCTTAGTGCACGATGTAACTACAGAAGAGTCAAGTTTTAAATAGGAAAAATATCTCTTTTTTTTTTTAGAAATGCTAATGATCTTGTCCACTTCAATGATGTATGCTAAGCTATGCTAAAAGTGGTACCGCCAGAACCGGAGATCGGCTGAATGGATTCAAAAACGGTAAAACTCAACAGTTTAACTCTGGGGGAGTTGTAAAATGAGCCTATTTCCAAAAAAAGTGGAGTATCCCTTTAAGTATTCGTTTTTGCTAAAATATTTATTTGAATTAATTAAAAATAATAATTATCAATTATTTAGTTCAGAAGAGAGCATACATTATAATTAAAAACTGAACTGCGCAGTGCGTGCCAAGAGCCAGTCACGTCACAGATCAGCAAGCATCAGGAGTCAAATTCCATTTAGCACGTGTGGAGATTTTATATTCGTCTCTTAGGGCCCATTTACACCTGGTATTAAAATGAGATCTGTATCCAGATAAGTTATCCGGATAATAAGTGTTCTGATCTTACCGATTCCATTTACACCTGGCCACATAAATGTGTTTTTGCAAAACGGATATAAATCCGACTTCAACTCCCGCGCTATGATTTAATGGATTGCACGCCACCGAAAGCAACAGAGCTGCATTTTATTGATCATCAGCTCATTTCAAAATCAAAGACAGCAATAAGAAAAAGTGGCAACAGCCCTGGTAAGATAATTTCGTTTTTTTACTTGAAGATGATTGTGTGTTAAGCGTCTGTGACTTACTTTCACTTTTATTTGCGATGTTTGCACGTTGGCTTGATGAATAGACGCTTAGCTGCTCATTTGCGGTAATGCGTGTTGCAGTAGGGTCGTCATATCTGACATGAAATAGCCTATATAACACTCTCACACGTTTATTTTTTTTAGCATTTTTGGGAGGAGTAAAATATACATATGTGGTTTCAACAACCAGATTGCGTTTACACCTAGTAAAGATCCGAACACAATGCAGCCAGACTACCTCCAGATGTGGTCAGGCAGATCCGATCACAATCCGATCACAACGTATTTACACCTTGCATTAACATGCGGTTTTTATTATCTGGATAACTTATCTGGATACAGATCGCATTTTAATACCAGGTGTAAATGGGGTCTTATTTATTTGGTTTTATCTTATTTAAACTTTGTGTAATTTATTTAGGCCTATTTTATTTTCTTATTCGTTAATAAACGTTTTATGGTTCTTATTTGTTTGGGCCCAGTTTGCCGATTTTCACTTTTTTCAGCCTATGCGTGGGGTTATTTTTATTCGTTCGTTATGCTAATAAAAGTTCTGTCTATAAATAAAAGTTTTATTATCAGCGAGCCGAGTTTTTTTTTTTTTGTCCATTCAAGCAATTGACGCTGAATTGCCAATTGACGCATATTTCGAAAGTGAAAGTATAACGCGCACGCATTTAAAAGCTATTTAACTCCCCCGCCCCGCCCCCCACGGTGACACCGGGATTACCGGTGTTGTCACACGTCGATTAACCGGTGGGAAAATTTCCTCACCGCCGCAACCCTAGTGTGCAGGACACTATAGTTCACTAATGTAAGTGAGGAACATGAAGCATTGCTTGGTCACTGGTTGAGCTAAACTGGTATTATCTAATTGTGTCGTTAAATTTAACAGCTGACAGATATTCAACATAATTCATGTGTGAGAGTCTAACAGAAGGACGGACAAAACCAGTCAAATATCAACTCATTTAATAACTGAGTTCTGATCATATTTTATTACCAATTTCTAAACTATAGCGAATAAACTGAGATAATGTGAGAAATGTTGAGGGTGTGTGAATAAGTGTTGGTTTGACTGTAAACTCATATGATGCTGAATCCTCATGTTCACCTGTAGTCGGGCTTCCACCTGGTCCAGTGTGGCGGCGTCCAGCGCACTGACACGAGCCTGCAGAAGCTCGATAGTGTCCTGTGAGATATGAGATATTAATATTCCCATCACATAACAACATTCACTCATTTTACATCAAGTTGTCAAGTGGTCTCTAATCTGCTATCTTTCATCAATGCGTTGGTTGTTAACAATAATGGTGTTGTTTATTGATCCAGGGTTCCCGCGGATCCTTAAAAA